TCGCTCCCCTTCAGTTTGTAGTGGTAGAGTCCATTCTACAACCACAGCACCCAGACCACCTTATGACCACCTCATTCCATGGCATTTTTAAAACCAGGCCTGAAGCATCACAACACCCATTCACTCAGTGGTTAAGCATGCCAGATTGTGGCCCTTATTAAGTACCATATATTCAGTGGACCCTATTTTAGTGTAAGGGTCAAAGTACACAGGATAGGGTTTTGTGACTGGATGGCCCAATATATCGTTTGCCCTTAAAAGCAGTTGCTAATATGAGACATGTTCATGATGGTAGGGAAAGCTGTCAGGTTAACCCTTTCCATGTTATTTTCCTGACCAAAAATGCCCCACCTGCCTGCTTTAAGCCCTGGAAAGAAAAAACACTGTCCGGTACCCACACTGGGCCTTCCTTTGTCCCAACTGGGGCTTAAAGCAACTGAAGGAAGGAGAATTTTGGATCAGGGAAGTAGCACAGAGGGGTTATGGCTTGTTTTAACTAATTTAATTGATGTGTTTTCATGATTTCAAGAGATGATGATTCTTGTATAAATAGTTGTTAGCTTGCTTGAATCCTGATTACAGCTACATCAGGAGAAACACAGGGTGTATAAAACATTTCTAGGTAAGTGAATAAAGCAGATAACACCTCTCAAGTCATGTAACTCCATCAGCATTGGATTATTTGGGGCCGATTCATGCACACACCATTGGCCAAGGATCCCGCACGTGTAGACTGGAGGGGGGGGGGAGGGGGAACAAACCAAAAAGCCAGTGCAGAGAGATGAGCCTCAAAAGGGTGTTTGAAAAGTGGATGAAGGGCTGTTTTAGAGTGGTAAACCTAATGCATATCAAGCACAACTGGACTCTTCTTTCGAGGCACTGTGAAAATTAAGACGCTCCTCTCCCTCTTCTTATTTATTTATTTTATTCCTTCTATTTGTATCCCACTCTCCCCCACTATTGTGGGGCACAGAGTGGGTCACAACATGTAATAAACGGAACATAATCAAGTTTATTATGGTCATAGACCAGTATAATAGAAGACAAGTAAATACAGTTAAGGGAGCAGTAAAATTATAAAATATAATGGCATTAAAATTATAAATAAGGATCTAAAAACTTTAAAATACAGATATAATAGAATCAAAATTATGATCAAAAGTTAGGTTTAGGCCTATCTGTACTTTATCTCTTTCCTAGTTTGGTATGCCAACCAACCAAATTTGGCAACCATCCCAGTCAGCTTTTGATTATCTCCTGCCAGCATAATTGACAAAAGTATCCTTCTATTACGACCTGGAAAGGAGTTAACTATAGGCTTGATCAAAACTTCCCTGATATTATGATATATGAGACAATCAAAAATTACATGTTCCAATGTTTCATCAGATCCCATTCCACGTATACAACTTTTCCTCAGTGATCTAGTAAATCTGGCCTCCATTATGGCTGAGGGTAAGGCGTTGTATCTTAATAGGGTAAAAATTCTTCTATGATTGCTGATATCTAAATATTTGATGTAAGATCTCACAACTATCTTGTTAAGTGTACTTACATCAAATACAGGGCTCCTAATCCTACTCACGCCCATCTGTCGTTCAACATCTAATATTCTTTGTTTTAGAACTGATCTAGCCTGATCATATCCCAAAGACAGTATAAACTGTTTTGAAAAACCATAACAGACCAGTTTATGTTCTATCTTTTTCCGCCATAAAGGAACAAAGTTATCTTGCATCATAGTATGGGAAAGGCCAATAGGTAAAAAAATCAATTTTGACCAATAATAAAACACAAAACATAATATAGTTAAAACATACCAATTTAAAAATTTCAGACATTTGCAATACCAGATGGCACATAATACTGCTATGGACACTGACCCAGGGGAAGAAAAGGTGGAGGAAAACGCAGGAAAATCTATAGGTGGGAATTCTCCTGACCTCACCCGTATGCTTTGCAGTACATTTCCGTTTTACAGGCCCGTTTTTCTGATTTGTTGGCCCTTTCTTGACTCTAAATGAGGCCCGCTTTTCCTCTTAGTGGTGGAAAGAGCCCAATTAGGAAAGAAAGAGGTCACTGCCCATGAGGTAAAAGGAGAGAGAGAGAGAGAATTGTGTCTCATGATTTTTGTTATGCCCCTGAAAGAAACTGTCCTCCAAACACAACAGGTGTAGCAACTTGGAGTACTTTATCAAACAAATGCCCGTTTTTCCCTAGCACGTTTTAAAAGCCCTGTTGGTCCTCACTGCATTTGTACAGCCCTTCCCCTTCAAAAGCAGATGGGAGTCCTTGCAAATGGGGCTCATGCAGCATACACACTGGCCACAATAATCACTGCCTTGCACGCAGTGGATGGTGAGACCACACATCTGCTCTGTCAGCACTTATACAGGATCTCCTTACTCCCATTTCTCTGACATCAAACAAGTGATTGTTAACAAGCTTTGGGAAGATACCAAAGCACTTATTGAACATGAATATCAAATGCAAAAGTCTGAAATTTATACCTTGCATGTCCAGAATACCTCCATCTGATGGTCTGTATTTTGCCCCATGTTGGTTTTTTTCTGGGTTCTCCACTTCTTTCTTCTCCTTGGCTCTTTTTACCTTCCTCGAACATTTTCTCTGCTGATTCCTTGATCCCCTGACCGTAGTCAGTTGTCTCCTCCTTAGTCAGTTTTCCATTTCGCTTGCAATCCATTCGGTTTCCCCAGCAAGTCGGAAGGACGGCTCTGCTATTTTTGCAAACCCTGCCAATGATAGGATGGCTGCAACCAGAAATGCTTAGCTATCCTGGACTGGTTGGAGAGGCAACTCCCTTTCATTGCAAACAATTTTGTATTTTCTTCTCCTCCAGTTTACGGGGTAGATTATTCCTGATGTTTTTGCATCTTGCAGACAACATAATTGTGGGGTTTTTTGCTCTTGGCCTAGGTTGGCTTATGTCTCTGATGGCTCATCTCTGATGATGTTTGCTCGCCTGTGTGTGTTGCTAATGTATTTGCTTAGCACGCACTCCGCTTTGGGTTTCTGGGGAATATAATCTTTCCCTCAGGATGGGGAGGAGACTGTTGCTAGGGAGCTTTTCCAAATGCACACCTGTAGAAGGTACAAATACTGTAGATGCAGTGGGTCAGAAGTAATTGGCACAAACATAGAGCTCTCACCTCCCTCTCTCTCTGGCACATGGGTGAGGGCAGCTGGGGCAGTGCTAGGAGACAGGTGTGGAGAGAAGGTATGGAGGAAGTTACTTGCTGTGCAATCCTAGACAGAGTTGCACCTTTTTAAATCCACTGACATCAGTAGGCTTAGGAGCAGTGTTCCCTCTAAGCTGAGTTAGTGTGAGGTAGCTCACAGTTCTTTTACCTCCAGCTCACAGAATTTTGCCTTAGCTCAGGAAGGATGGCTCCAGAGCAAACTAATTTATGCAGGAGCCAAATTGCTTGCTCATAACTTTAATGGCAGTAGCTCACAAAGCAGAATTTTTGCTCACAAGACTCCACAGCTTAGAGAGAGCACTGCTTAGGAGGGTATAGCTCTGCTTGGGACTGTGTTGTTAGGAAAGCCACGTTTCCCATCTTCAGTCCTTGCCCCCACCCATTTACTGCAGTTTATAGGGGCACTGGGAGGATTGCCTGGAGAATGAATACAGAGGCAATCATCATCATTACAAGTTTGGGAGCCCGTGAGGAATTAGGGGGAGCAATAAATGGGAAAGTCCCACCCAAACCTTCCCTTCTAGTCAGCTGTCAGCTCTTAGGGTTTCAAGCGGGCCAGTTTCCCCTCCCATCCTCTATTTATTCTCTCTCACTTCCTTCAACTGAGACTAAGTTAAATGGGGGAGAGGCTGTGGCTCACTGGTAGAGCCTCTGTTTGGCTTGCAGAAGGTGCCAGGTTCAATTCCTAGCATCTCGTTAACAGGGACCAGGCAGTTAAGTGATGTGAAAGGCCTCTGTCTGAAACCCTGGAGAGCCACTGCCAGTCTGAGTAGACAATACTGACCTTGATGAACCGATGGCTTGATTCTGTATAAGGCAGCTTCACCTGTCAGTTTGGTGTGTCTAACTAGGATCTGGGAGACCCAGATTCGAATCCCCACTCTGCCTTGTCATTCTCTCAGCTTCAACCTACCTCACAGGGTTGTTGTGAGGATCACCCAGAGCAGGAAAGAGATGTGCATGCCGTTCTGAAGGTGGAAGGCAGATGAGCTTTAAAAAAAGAGCTGGGGGAATGCACAGCTGCTCTCAGGGCTTTTTTTTTAATAGAAAAAGGCCAGCGGGAGCTCATTAGCATAATAGGCCACACCCACCAACAGAAACTTATTAGCATATTAGGCCGGCCCTTGGAGGGGAGTCATGGGGGGGGGGGGTCGCTCTCCAGGCCTTCCCTCTGCAGCCACCTATGCGCAGAGGTTTTGGCTGTACGCATGGGCGTGGCCAACTCAGAAGCCAGCCGGAACTCCGTTCCTGCCCAAAAATACCCCTGGCTGCTCTGAAAAGCATGTGTAAACTGGGCCGCAACCCTCAACACGCCTGCCAGGGAAGCGTCCTCAGTGGGACTTACTTCTGAGTAAACACGCCGTGGCTCAAAGCCTACAGCAAGGAAACGATTCACTTGGCTGCATTAGCAAGCCAGCTTCCCCACGCCCAGGCGCGGTCTGCGGCTTTCCCAGACGGAGAAATGAAGCAAGAAATGCGGGAACGGGGCTCCTGCCCACTTCCTGCAGCTGGAAAAGGCCCAGGAGACTGATCGGGGCGGGGGAAGTGCTCAGAGAAGGGGAAAAAACAACTTGAGGTCCCCCAGGCAGGCCTGAGCCCTGCAACACGAACATTCTAGTGAGTTATCCGCCTGATCTCTACGCCTAAAACAGACGCTAGGAGGAGGAAGGTCGCTGCCGAGGCCCGGAGGGCTGTGCTTCAAGCAGGCCCGCCTCCCTCCAGCGGGGCGGAGATCTCGCCCGCCTCTCCTCCCAAACGCAGCCCGCGGGGGCACCGGCGGGTCGCTCCGGCTCCGCCAGTCAAGGCTGCCATGGCGAGGCGGCTCTTCGCGGGGCTCCGCTTTGTCTTCGCTCTCTGCGTCTTCGAGGGCGCTGCAGGTACGGGGCGCGCGCGGGGAAGGGGGCGTCCGTGGGGCACGTGCTTGCGTGTAAGAGGCGGGTCTCTCTCTGGGCGAGGAGGCTGATCCCGACGACCAATCCCCTGGCTCTCGTTACCGGGGAAGGGGGGGATGAAGCAAAGGTTAGTATCCCCCCCACACACACTGACAGCGCCCGGCGTGCCAACAACAGCGAATCTCAAAAGCGCGGTCAATAGCAACTCCTCCATAAACTATGCCCGGTCAATAGCAAACTCTTCCATAAACATTAAAAACTTTCATTCCACCTACTTCCCGGTCGCACCTTGTTACTTAGCAGTAAGTAGCCCTGACTCGGCAGCCGCCTAAAAGCTCAACGGAGCTTTAAAAAAAACAAAGCCTCTCCGGCCACGATCACGTCAAAAGTGAGCACTGTTTTAAAAGTCCCGTTTCTTTCCGCGGTGCTTGTTTAACGCTCCCATTGCGATGGGTGGGACGCACACCTTGCCTCTCTAGGTACTTAGCAATGCTCCCTCTAAGCTGTAGAGTCTTGTGAGCAAAAATTCTACTTTTTGAGCTACTGGCATTAAAGTTGTGAGTGAGCGATTTGTCTACTGCCATAAATTAGTTTGCTCTGGAGCCATCCTTCCTGAGCTAAGACAAGAAAGTGTGAGCTGGAGGCTAAAAAACTGTGAGTTAGCTCACACTAACTCAGCTTAGAGGGAACACTGCTTAGGAGTAAAGTCCCACTGTTCTGTGGGGTTTACGTCCCAGAAAGCATCACTGCGATTGCTCACAAGAAAACTCCATGTTCACTTCAGTGGGATTTCTTTACCAGAGAGTAAAAATATGTTCTATGTATGTGCTGTACATTATATACAATATGAATGACCTTGATAAGTGTAAATATGTTATATAAGTTCATAGGATTTTCTTTTGATTTTCCCATTTTCTTTTTTTCTTTGTGTCCTTGTTATTTTTTTTTAGAAAATATAAAAAAAATCTTTTAAAAAGAAAGTATTGATAGACCTGGCCTCAAATTGTGCATCACTGTGGCTGTAGTACTATTCTGAATACAAAGGGGGTGGGGGGTGGAAAGTGCCATCGAGTCACATCTGACTTATGGCGACCACTGGTGGTGGGGTTTTCAAGGCAAGAGATGTTCAGAAGTGGTTTGCCCTTGCCTTTCTCTGTGTACTGACTCGGGACCTCCTTGGTCTCCCATCCAAGTGCTAACAAGGGCTGACCCTGCTCAGCATCCAAAATCTGATGAACAGTACCAAGGGGAGTGCCAGCGCGATCCTGTGCATGATTATGCAGGAGTAAATCCAGTGATGTTCAATGGGCCTTATTCCCAAGTAAGTGAGCACTGGATTTCAACTTAAGCAATTTACTGCTGTAAATTCTAGGGCAGGCAAACAATTTGTATGAGAATCTGTTCCTTGAGTTTAGAATCTTTGCCTATTTGAAATGATGATCCAGAGATTGAAACAGCAATTATATGCCTTAATTCCCACTGGGATCCATAGGGCTTACTTCAGTGTAAACATGATTAGGTTCCAAATGGAAGGCAATGTGGTAAGAAGGTGGAATTAGGAGAACAAATGTATTTCTTGGCAGCGAGCAACGATGAATCCATTTATGGTTGCAGAAAGGCAGGGCAGACATAAGAACATAAGAACATAAGAGACGCCAATGTTGGATCAGGCCAAAGGCCCATCCAGTCCAACACTCTGTGTCACACAGTGGCCAGAAATACCAGTGCCATCAGGAGGTCCAGCAGTGGGGCCAGGACATTAGAACCCCTCCCACTGTTGACCCCCCCCAAGCACCAAGAAGACAGAGCATCACTTGCCCCAGAGCCCCTAGCTATACCTTGTGGCTAATAGCCACTGATGGACCTCTGCTCCATATGCTTATCTAATTCCCTTTTGAAGCCGTCCATGCTTGTAGCACCCACCACTTCCTGTGGCAGTGAATTCCATGTGTTAATCACTCTTTGGGTGAAGAAATACTTCCTTTTATCCGTTCTAACCCGACCGCTTAATGAATAAGACGTTTAATGAATAAATAAATGAAGGTATCAAAACAGTATGCTGGAGATGCTAATGTACAAAGGCACTTTTCCAGCCTATGTATCCTCCTTTTGGTAAAAATAAACCCTGCTGGATCAGGCTAAAAGATCAACTAAGCCTGCATCCTGTTTACAGCGGGGGATGGGGGCAACCAGATGCTTTTGGTGAGTCCATCCATGAGTTAGCCACAAAAACACTAGTCTTCCCATTGTTGTTTTTCCTGTATTTGCTGGAAGTCAGGTACACTGCCCCTAGTATGGAAGTTCAGTTCCACTTAGAGCCTTGCAGAATCTCTCCAAGGATCCATCTCAAACTGCATGCTGCTTCAAACTGTGGCTGATGGGGAAAACTTAACAGCAGCCCAGTCAAGAAACTGGTCATTAATTATATACCTGTTTGCCCTTAGCATCTGGCACTGTTGTCTTCTTGTGAAAGAAAGAAAAACCATGTTCTTTATCATTGCCCCTGGCCAATTCATGGAGGGGAGAGCCCTCAGTAGTCACTACCCACGATGGCTAAAGGGAACCTCCAGCTCCAGAGGCAGTCAACCTCTGAATAGCAGTGGCAGGAGGTTACATCAAGGGAAGGCTTTGGTGTCTATCCCCACCGTGTTGACCCTCCAGGGCAACTAGTTGGCCACTGTGTGATGCTGATGAACAACTGGTCTGATCCAGCAGGTTGTGTGTTTTTATGAAAATGGAGCTTTCCGTGACTGTTTTTAATTTTACAAAAATAGATTCAATTATGGATCTCTGTCATTGCATCTGTTTCCGCCTAAAGTATTGGAAATGAGTCTTGCAGGAATGATTACAGTAATGCTTTCTCAGTGTATGATTCTGTGTGTGTGTAGATTAGAAATTCTGATGAATCGCCAGTGAGGGAAGGGGTGAGCAGAAGGTTATATCGGGGTAAGCAAACCTTTTTGGCCCAAGTATCCCCCTCCCAAAAAAAGCAACATCTACCTGTGAAGTTGTTGGTTTGCCACTAAACAAAGGGAGAGATAGAGGGTGTTCTTGGACAAATATGCTGATCCAAGCACTGCATGTGGTTTTGTCAGGTGTCCCTCAAACGAACCTGGGCTTAACCTGAGGCAATGCTAACCAGAGCACAAGTCTCATAATGATTTTTTTTGAAGATGTGGCTCAGGTTTGGACTGTGCGACTGGTTCATTTGAAAAAGAAACCCTGGGTGTATGTCCACCCCACGACGGTCCTTTCTAGAGTCCAAAGGTTTTGTTCTTATTCGTTTGGCCCAGGCTGGCATCCTCCCTAATTGGGCACAAAAGCAGATGTCAGACCTGGCAATAGGTGTGATCCTGGGCCTACATTTTGGATTCTTGAAGAAGAGATCCATGTGGCCTAGTCTGTGTGCAAGTGCTTTATTCCTGGTTCTGTTGGACCCATAACACCCCTTTTTGTTATGGGCTCACACCCAATTCTCTCCTGGAACACAGAGGATCCGGCTTCTGTTTTTCTGTTGACATCTCCTCTGTGCCAGTAAGGAAAGAGGGCTGTGGATGACTTTGCATGAATGAATGTAGCAATTAGTGTTGGAGGCAACTTTCTCCTTTTCTTTTGCAGGGACAGAAACCCTTGTGATTGGCATAGCAGGCAGGGACGTGACTCTGACGTGCCAGAATGCATCACAGCGAGCACTTGTGGTGGAGTGGTTTCAGGGGGACCCCGACACTGCCCCCGTTCTCTTCTCCTCGGATGGCAAGCTCCCAGAGGACGCTCGCTTCTCGCTCGTTGGGAACGCCTCCTTGCACATCACAGGGCTGCGCCCGCAAGACGAAAGGAACTACACCTGCAAGGAAGTGCTGAATGAGACGGATCACTTGCACAGGATCCAGTTGCTTGTGGCCAGTAAGTTAGCATGTGTGTCCTGTTTTGCTTTGTGGCCAGGTAGGGCATGCAGGCAGCTTTCTTGCTGTGTGTGCTCTAGAACCAGTGGCTGGAACCACTGCAGGAGAGGAGAGTGGTGGCGCGCACACAGGTTGTTGCACTTTGAACCAACTGGCTGCAAAACACCAGTGAACCAAAACAAGACTAACAAGAATAGAAGGAGAGGGTGGGGGGGGGGGGGGCCAAAAAATGAGAGAGAGACGGAGTCTGGGGGGGGAGAATGAGTGGGGTGTGGAAGGGCAAAGGAAGGACCAGGGAGAATTGTTATGTGTGTTTTGTGGAAGAATGCGAGCCATTTTAAACATGACACTTGTGACATGACCTTTGCGAAGCAGGTATGTTTGCTGATTTGGCATGCCTGAGATTTGTAGCCCTTGTGGGTATTGTGCTGGTGTCAAAGATAAGTGCACGTACCTACTTTGCGTGGCTTGCAGCCCAGTGTAAACAAGGTGCTGAGCCTGTGCAGGGTTGAACTGGAAAACCCTTTGCTGTGCTAACGTCACATTTAAAATTGGGCTTCAGAACCGGTCAGGGAGGACCCTGCTCAACCCAGTCGTCTCCCCTTCAGCCAGCCAGTCTCCCCTCTTCCCATCACAGTTACCCACCCCCCAGTTCTCCCCCTACAAACTGACATTCCCCTCAGTGGGGGCATAGGCTGTTTTTCCTTCTGCCAAGGTGGGCCTCTCTCGTCTACAGTGCCTGTTTTTCTGGCTGAGTTCCCAGCGTAGCTCTGAATTTGTTTTCAAGGTGTGGTCAGCAGCCACTTCTGCAATATGCATATCCCAAACAAGAGCTGCACCCGCTTTGTCCAGGGCGGAAAAGGTCTGCAAGTCTATTCAATCTGTCTTAGTTGTGAAGAATGTCTTCCAGAACCCATAAGAGGAGCTCTGCTGGACTATAACAATGTTCTGTCTTGTCTACTACCCTGTTTTCCCTCAGCAGATGTTTCTGGGACACTCGCAAGTATAAGTATAAATAGCCTGCTCCTGCAGTTCCCCCAGTGTCTGGTATTTAGGGATACACTGCCCCTGGACCTGAAAGATCTGTTCACCTAGCACAGCATATAGTTATTGCTTGACCCCCTCCTCCGTGAATCTGTCTAATAATCCTTGTTTTACAGCATCCTTGTTTTGTAGTCTAGGCTGGCTTTGTCATGAAGCTGAATGAGGCAGGGCAGGTGCTTCAGACAATGGATTTGTGGGGGGGGCAGCAACTTGCCATCCCACCTACTTCCGCCTCCCTTGCCACCCTTTTTTTTTTTTACACAGCACGTTGAGTTGTATATTCCCTCTAGGGCCTTCCAAACTCTCCCAAGAGTTTGACCATCCCTTGGGTTGCCAAAGCAACCATGGCGATCAGGGTTGCCAGGGCAACCCAGATGATGGCCGAGCTCTTGTGATAGGAAGGGATCTCAAGGGAATTTGGAAACCTGGTGGGGCAAATCTGGCTTGCTTTTTTTTTTAAAGGGGGGGCTGATGGGGACAAGGAGGATTAGCTGTTCCTGTTGCAGGATGGAGGTGGGCACAGCCTCCTGTGACAAAATATCTGAAGTGTGCGCTGAAACCAGTGGCTGTTGCCCCAGAGTGGCAACATGGCAGTGTAGCCTGTTGCATCCCCTGGGGTGATGGTCTCTCCCAAGCAGAAGCTACTCTGCCTGAATGCCCTGTTGCATTGCACTGTTGTTGATTTCCAGCCACACCATTGTGTTTCTCAAAGGCCACTAATTGCAGAAAAACATGCTCAGGACACTTCCAGAACTTCCTGACTTTAGCGTAGAGGCATCTTGAACATGAGGATCATTCACCTTGGGAAGGGGGCAGAGCTGTCTGTGCAAGACAAAATTGAGTAGAAGCTTTGATCCTATGAGCTCCCTCCTGCCATCTGAAGTGGTATAATTCTGACCCTGTCTCAGCAGCTGTTTTGTGAGAAGGGGACTAAGGACCCTGAATTTGGTCTTCCCAGTCTTCACCTCCGCTTGACCTTGAATCTTTGTGCAACTCTTTGATGGAGTGTCTAATGCCTACTTCTGTGAGGTCACAGAATACCAACAGAATGTCTGTTGGTGCTGACTGTTTTCTGTTTACCAGGGACACACCCTGGTATCCTTCCCACTGTTCCTGTTAGTCCCTTTGGGGAATTATCCGAGCAACCAAATTTGTCCTGTGTCAGGGTTCAGCTCTGTCCAGGTTCTCTGGAAGCTTTATGTCAGAGGGGGTGGGTAGATGCATCTTTTCTCTTTGTAGGCCAGCCAGGAGTGATCTTAGGAGGTCCAAGAACACAGCACTCTCTCCCTCTCTCTCTCCCTCTCTCTCTCCCTCTCTCTCTCTCTCTCCCCCCCCCTTTAAATGGAAGGCAAACGAGTGCCTGATTCAGATCTGGACTGCCACACAAAGAGACAGGGAGAGGGGTAAAGCTTCTCCCTCCCATGCTATTTTGCCAACCTGAAATGGCTGTAGAGAGGTAGTAAGTGCCCCACTGGGGCAAATGTATAGGTACCTGGATGAGTAACCATATGTTTACCCAAAGGGCAAATAGCAGGTGGATACTACCCCCATCCTACCACTACACTGAGCAAAGCTGATTGATTTACTAAAATGTTTATACCCCACTTTTCCTCTCGGCTCAAGTAGGAAGCCTTCCTCCCATGGAAGAACCACTTAAGGAGGAGGAAAGCTACTTGGAGGATGGTAGGATCCAGCCCAGCAGCTGTGCCATTTGCAAAAGCAGCATGGCGGGTGGCCCTTGAACCTTCCATTCCATCACACCGCAGTACAATCCGAATTGGGCCATGCATATCTAATGAGTATCAACAAGACAGACTGTAAGTGGAGTAAATAAGAGAACCCCCCCCCCCACACACACACACACACTGGAAACTCTGTAGAACTCCTGGCATCATGCCTGGTCTGGTTCTGTGGCCCCCGCAACAGAGCACCGCCTGCCATTTCACATGCTGGTGAGTCACATTTTGCTGATAACAGATTGTAGGAGAGCGATGCATTTCTAGCATCTATTCAACACAAAGAGCAAAACACTTTTTAAAAAGCAGATGGAGCAGCACTTTGGGCGATATGTAGTGTGAGAGAGGGGCAGCTTGGGCAGTGACCCTTGGCCCAAGAACTGGGGTGTTGTGTGCATGTTCCTATTTTAATCTGTTAAACGTTGAGAGGGCAGGCCGAACTGCAAGAAACTTTCAGTGACTTAAAGGTGCAATCCTATGCTGTTATTCCAGTCTAAGCAGATTGATTTCCATGGGTTTAGACGGTAGTAACTCTGCTAAGAGTCCGCTGTGATCCTAAGGACATCTTTCTGGGTGGAAGACCACTGACTAAAACAGGGCTTACTTCTGAGGAGACCTGTTCAGGATTGCTCCCTGAAACTGCTACACGACTAAACAGTGTTGCCATTCCCATGATTTGAGGTTGGATTCATTTGGGTTTCATTATTAAGGTTTAAGATCCATTGTATAAAGAAATATTGTTCCACCACCCACTAGATTATATGGTACCTCTCCTTATCTCTCATAGGTAGGGTTGCCAACCCCCAGGTGGGGTCTGGAGAGCTCCTGCTATGATAACTGAGCTCAAGCCAACAGAGATCAGTTTCCCTGGACAAAATGGCTGCTTTGGAGAGTGGACTCCATGGCATTGGGCACCATTTGCATTACCAGTGACATTATGGACACAAGGTTGTCTTTGTGGATGCTGCTTTCCTGCTAATACGAGGAAGATCCATCTATGTAGCCCCGTTTGGGGCAGGAGGTCTTGATGCAGGTTTTTTTTTGTTTTTTGTTTTGCTATTCTGTTGATGTATTAAGGCATTTTAACCACGCTGTTCAGGAAGGTTACACATTTAGGGTGCAGTCCTAAGAATAGCTTTTCTGGGGATAAGCCCAGCTGAATAAAACAGTGCTTACTTCTGAGTAGACCTGCTTAGGATTGCCCTCTTCACTATGCAAAATGGATTAAAATAGACTGAAACCACAAATCAAAAGTCTTAGGCAGCATCTGGTTCCATATGAACATCTCCCCCCGCTCCCACCCACACACCTGCATCCATGTTCTGAGATCAGCTATTTAGGCCATGCTTTGGACTGCATCGTGAACAATGTTCCCTCTAAGCTGTGGAGTCTTGTGAGCAAAAATCCTACTTTGTGAGCTACAGGCATTAAAGTTTTGAGCGAGCCATTTGGCGACTGCACAAATCAGTTTGCTTTGAGGCCATCCTTCCTGAGATAAGGCAAAAATCTGTGAGCCAAAGGCTAAAAAACTGAGTTAGCTCACACCAACTCAGCTTAGAGGGAACACTGATCGTGAAGTAGTCAGAGTACCCTCTCTGTGCTGTGGACGTTTTCCAGTGGTGGCCCCAGACCTGTAGAGTGCCTTTCCCCAGTGCACTCACTTTGCCCCCCCCCCCTTGTAGTTATTCTGAAACTGCTTGGAAAGTTCTTACTCAGAATGGCCTTTCCGCTGATACCATTGAGATTCTGATTTACCAGTCTTTGTTTTAATAACGGCTGCTGTATTTTACTGCCTATATGTTACTTTTTTCCCTGCTTTGAAATGGTCAAAATGCAGCCTTTACATTTTGAAAACTAAATTTGGTAACTAAATCGCAAACAACGACAAAACGTTATCGTATGACATAAAACAGAGAGCAAGCTTATCACCAGTAAACTGGGTGTTATGAAAATCACCGGTAAATGAGATAGACCTAGCCCAGTGGTGGCGAAGCTATGGCACGGGTGCCAGAGGTGGCACTCAGAGCCCTCTCTGTGGGCACATGTGCCATCGCCCCAGCCAGGCCCAGACCATCATTAAAGTGTCGAATTCTCTGCCAAATAATTTTAAGTAAATGAAAGCATTTGGGATTGCTTTCCTTACTTTGTTTGGATCATCTTAAGTTAATGTATGAGTTGTTTTTTCTAAAGTAAAACCTCAGTATTCAGGTTAAATTGCCGTGTTGGCACTTTGCAATAAAGAAGTGGGTTTTGGGTCGCAGTTTGGGCACTCGGTCTCTAAAAGGTTTGCCATCACTGACCTAGCCCAATGTTTAAAAAACAGCAGAGATGACAGCTAGCGAACTCATCTGTGGCGGGAATTCCATAGTCGGGGTGCCACTACAGAAAAGGCCTTCTGTTTGATATCTGTCTACCTCACCTCTAGAGGCAGGTGCAGCCAACAAAGATCTTAACTGATGGGAAGATTTATATTGCCTGCTGTAGAATAATGACTTCTCTGCTCACCTTTCAGGTGGCCCTGACAGGATCGATGTCCACATCCAACCCACCACGGTACTGCCAAATGGCACTTTCTATGCCAAGAGACACGGCATCCTCAATTTCACCTGCACTGCCATCTCCCAGCCCGTGCCCACAATCAAGTGGGATTTCGACCCGTCCGGTTCTCCCCACGAGCTATTCACAGAAGTTAACGGCTCGCAGAACTCTTTCATCCTGCACCAGATGTCACCCAGGTACCAAGGGAACTATACGTGTTCAGCGAAGAACCCGCTCAGCGGCTTCCAAGAGACCCGGACCCAAGAGTTGCTGGTCTACTGTATGTACATTAAGGGGGGCTTGCAGAGGGTAATTGTGGATGCTCATGGGGAATTTTGCTCTACCGCAGAATCGGAAACACTGTGTGCCCAAGAAGGCTCTGTAGCCACCCCACCCCGCCCCTCACTCCCAACGCAACGTGGGGCACTGAGGGTCAAACTGCATGGCCTGGGAAACTGGTGTTCTGTGGCTGAACTCCAGGCCCATGGTACACTGAAGCAGTTTTGCAGTTAGATTTGAGTCCAGTCGCTCCTTAGAGACCAACAAGCGTTTCAGGGGATAAGCTTTTGAGAGACAGAGCTCCCTTAATCGGACAGGAGTAGAAATGGAGACCTCTTAGTCCTTTTACGCGTCAGAAGGTGGGAGGGGTGTTGTAAAGAATGCTTGTGCAGGATGCTGAGGTGCTGCACATGTTGAAAGCAGCTTGATTAGAGCAGAGGGGAAATGCTTGGGGGCAGGAAATTAGCATCTGTAGTGGTTAAGACGCTGAACTGCAGACCGGAAGGTCGGTAGTTCAGCAGTTCGAGACCCGAATACCGCATGATGGAGTGAGCTCCCGTCTCTGGTCCCAGCTCCTGCCAACCTAGCAGTTCGAAAGCAAGAAATTGCAAGGAGATAATTAGTTACCACTTTGGTGGGAAGGTAACAGCATTCCGTGCTCCTCGGCGTCTTGTCATGCTGGCCACATGACCACGGAAACGTCTTTGGACAGCGCTGGCTCTTTGGCTTGGAAACGGAGTTGAGCACCACACCCCTAGAGTCAGATTCGACTGGCTTTCAAGCAAGAGAAACCTTTTATTTTACACCTAGTGAGATAAGCATCCTACGTCCCTATTTATCCTTGGGGTGGGGGGAGTCCATTGGTCTGAACTTGGGGGATTAACTCAAGTTCAGCAATCTCACATTGTAATTTTCCATTAAAATATCTTTGTTTGAGGACTGTAGTGTTAGACTCTGGTCTTACAGGGCCCTGTGTAGCCAGCTGGTGCACCGTCTGTGGGCCGGGTCCCTGGACTTATACCCCAAAATCTGGCCCTGATGACACCACTGCTCCAGATATGTACTGTGTCCTTAAGAAAGAGCCTTGTGGGGGAGGGGGAGGCGCACTGATATGAATTGGGTTTAGGGCAGCTGATAAGAGGGGGTTTATCCGTTTCCCACCTACTGATACCCCTAATGTATTTTACCTCTCTACCAGCTACTGAGCCCAGTTCTAAAATGGGGAAGAGGAGATCCAAATCTTGCAACCTGAGTTCTTTGGCACAATGGCAAAAAAAATTTTTTTAGAATGGGGGTTATGAATAGCTGGTTTGGGAAGTCTGCATGCAATAGGTAGGCACTCTTTTAAGGTAAGCTGAGCCCACTCCTTATAAAACAATACTCAATTTTTTGAAGTGGGTTCTCAAGCTAATGGGCAGATCCTGGGATCTTGCCCAAAGCAGTCTTCTAATGTTCTCTCTTCCTGGCCGCCCACACTTAAAACTTCCCAGCTATCTTTGGAAGCAGCCCCACATACAGGGCACTGGACATGGCCAGTCTGGAGCTTGAAGGAGTGTGCCCAGGCCTTGTTTATCAAGACTACTGATAAAAGGCACTCCTTTTTCAGCACAATACCTGCTGCGAAGTCTACTGGGAAGGCATTGCCCCCCCCCCGCCCTGCCCCCCGCGTTTTTCTTCCTGAAGGCTGGATCTGCTCTCTCCCAAGACATGCAAGCTGTCGCTAAGGATAATATAGTCAGGAAGCTGCAGTACAGTGCGGGGGGGTGTATTCAGTGCGCTTCCAGCTACTGGTGGCACAAGAGAGGAAATGGAAATAGCCTATGACTGTGTTGCAATTGAGTGGGTCCAAACCAATGTTCCCTCTAAGCTGTGGGGTCTTGTGAGCAAAAATTCTACTTTGTGAGCTACTGGCAATTAAAGTTGTGAGCGAGTGATTTGGCTGCTGCACAGATTAGTTTGTTCTGGAGCTATCCTTTCTGAGCCAAGACAAAAATGTGTGAGCTGAAGGCTAAAAAACTGTGAGCTGGCTGACACTAACTCAGCTTAGAGGGAACACTGGTCCAAACCAATCTCCGGCCAGCATTGCAAAGGCTGTGGGGTCTTGGCTTGCTCCAAGCCAGCAGGAGAACATGATGGCATCCCTTGGTTGTGGTGACAACCTACCTTGAACCAACCCTGCCTGAAGGTTTGGGCTTCAATTGGCCTCTGGGTTCCAGACCAGGATTTCTCAACCATTGCTAGTGTAGGCTTTAATTATGGCTTGACTGGCTACTTTGGCGGCTTGTATTTTCCTGCTTTAATCCACCCTCTTGAGTGGCCTGTTTTCCTGACACTAGCGTTTTCTCCCCCATTTAATCTCAGCAATAAACTTGCGTGGTATGGGAGGGGCTGTGGTTCAGTCGGACAGCTTCTGCTTGGCTTGCGGGTCACCTGGCATCTCCGATCAAAGTGATAAGGTGTTAGGTGGTGTGAAAGACCTCTGGCTAAGATGCTGGAGAGCTGCTGCCAGTCTGAGTAGACAATACTGACTTTGACTGGCCAATGTCTGGTGCAGTAGAAGGCAGTTTCATGTGTCTGTGTGTCCTGGGAGAGAATGATGCTTTAAAATGTGTCCCTGGCATGCGGGCTTCCCCAAGCCCAGCCCAGATTCCCTTTCTGTTGACTCAGCACCGCATGATGTTGCGGTCAGATTGCCAGCAAGAAAAATTACTTTTTTAATATCAACTGTCCCTGATGCTAGAATGTGGGCTCACCCAACGCCTGCCAGTTATGATCCTCCTCACAGACTATGCCCCCGAACTCCAGAGGTGAGGCAGGTGGCAACAAGAGCTGGGGAGAGCCAGTCTGGCGTGACGGTTAGGAGCGCGGACTCTAATCTGGGAGAACCGGGTTTGATTCCCCACTCTTCCACATGCAGCTGCTGGTGTGACCTTGGGTCAGTCACAAGTTCTCTCAAAGGTGTTCTCTCATGAGCTGTTCTTGAAAGATCTCTCTCAGCCCCACCTACCTCACTGTTGTGGGGACGGGAAGGGAAAGGAGATTGTAAGCCGCTCTGAGACTCCGAGTAAAGGCTGGAGTATAAATCCAATCTCCTCCCCCTCCTGAGTGGTGCCCCCTCCCCCTTGAGGCTCACCTGGCACCCACTGTGCTTTCTTTTTTGTGCCAGGCCAAAATATTTCTTTTTCACCCATGCTCTTAAGTACAGGGCTGAACTTTTAAAATTGTTCTTATAGTCTGCCTCTAGCCTGAGAACTGTTTTGTGCGACTGGTTTCATGCGGGTTTTTTTTGTCTGGCTTAAGTTTTTAATAGTTCTTTACTGTGTAACAATTTTTAGATTGTTTTGGGAGGGGGGTTACCATATTTTATTTTGTGAGCTACCTTGAGCAGGTTCTCTGGAGAGGAGGCATAGAAATTTTCTAGATCAGTATACTTAAAAAAAAAAAAATTGGTATAGATTTGGGATAGACAAAAGCAGGGCTTTTTTGTAGAAAAAGCCCAGCAGGAACTCATTAGCATAATAGGCCACACCCAACAGCAGAAACTCATCCGCATATTAGGCCACACCCCCATGCCTTCCCTGGGGTGGGGTTGCTCTCCAGGCCTTCCCTCTGTAGCCACACACACAGAGTTTGGCTGTAGTGAGGTGGCCAACTCTGAAGCCAATCGGAACTCCGTTCCTGTGTGTTCCTGCCCAAAAATAGCCCTGGACAAAAGGAACTACTTCCTCCCATGATGAGTTATTAGCTTGTAAAATTTGTGCTGGTAGGGTGTGGTGGATGTGCTGGTAGGGTGTGGCTTAGATAGCTTCAAAGGGGAGTAGACTAATTTTTGGAGGCAAGCTCTGCCAACATCTATTAGAGATAATGGAGGTGGATCCAACCAGATTTTTTTCCACTCCATCTCACCCAATTCCAGCGAGTTATAATTTGTGCGGGTAGGGTGTGGTGGAAGCCATTGGCTTAGATAGCTTCAAAGGGGATTAGACTAATTTTTGGAGGCAAGCTCTGCCAACATCTATTAGAGATAATGGAGGTGGATCCAACCAGATTTTTTCCCACTCCATCTCACCCAGTTCCAGCTCCCTGTCTTATGGGGCTTTTATCCATGAAGGTCTCTGGATCCTCAGCTTAGTCTTATTGGATAGTCAAAGGGGATCCTTCCTCTCTTTTTTTCCATCAGCAGAAAAGTTGGTTGGATCCATCACAAGAGTTTAAAGGAAGCCTCCATGTTAAAAGACCTCTGAATACCATGGGGCAGCAGAGAAGCAAGGCCTCTGCCTTGTATGTGGACTTCCTTGAGGCATCCGGTGGGCCACTGTCAAGGTGGACTGAACCAGTGGGGCTTCTTCCTTACATTCTTAGCTGGCTATTTGTGCCTAGGACCTTGCTGGTGGTACACATGAGCACATGAAGCTGACTTCTACTGAATCAGACCCTCTTGGTCCATCAAAGTCAGTATTGTCTCCTCAGATTGGCAGAAAAGAACAAGAGTCCAGTGTTCCCTCTAAGCTGAGTTGGTGTGAGCTAGCTCACAGGTTTTTAGCCTCCGGCTCACAGATTTTTGTCTTAGCTCAGGAAGGGATGGCTCCAGAGCAAACTAATTTATGCATTAGTCAAATCGCCCGCTCACAACTTTAATGCCAGTTGCTCACAAAGTAACATTTTTGCTCACAAGGCTCTGCAGCTTAGAGGGAACATTGCAAGAGTCTAGTAGCACCTTAAAGACTAACAAAGTTTGTGGCAGGGTATGAGCTTTTGTGAGTCACTGCTCACTTCTTCAGATACAGATTCTTCAGATCATGAGCAGTGACTCACAAAAGCTCATACCCTGCCAAAAATTTTGTTAGTTTTTAAGGTGCTACTGGACTCTTGCCCTTTTCTCCTGCTACGGACAGGCTAACATGTGTACCCATTTTGATCTATCTCCGGGGTTTGAGGCAGGGGTTTTCCACATCACCTACTGCCAGATCCTTTAACTAGAGATGCCCAGCCACTGATCCACCGCCCCTCCCCATCTCCTGGTCTTCCTGCTAACCATAAGAACTTCTGCTTGTAGATCCCCCACCATCCTTACCCCAGTGTTGGGTTGAGACCTCCACTGAAAGCTCCAGAGGGGTGCAATTGTTCTGCCAATGGCCTGGGGGTTATCCACACCCTTCCCTCTACTGGAGAGACAAAGAGGACCTGAGCAGCAAGGAAATCAATGCTACGAGCCTGGCTGACACCATCGTGGCAACTCTGAACAGCTCCCAGTTGCTTCATGAGAAGGAGTTCACCTGCCATGGAAGCCATGTCTTAGAACAGGAGGCAAAGGCGTCCTGCACTGTGCAGCTGGGTAAGTAGCAGAATCATATAGCTGGCAGGACTGTCCACTCCAACCTGTCAGCCCCAAGCAGGACTACTTGCCCACCATTCCCCCTCAGGTCAACTTCTGGAAGACAGAAATCAGCCATATTGCAAGAGGCATTTCCAGACCAATAGTGTCAGATGGACATGCGGATAAAGGTGGATATAAATATACTTAATTGATGTGCCTGTAGCAGAAATACACTCACAGCATTTTTAATGTGTATAACCTTCTCCCCCTATCCCACCCCCCAATCAAGCTTGAGGGAGACTTGTTCTTTGGCCTTCGAGCAGAAGAGGGATTCTTGCAGCACTCTTTGGCTGGTTCCTGCATCATCTGTAAAGCCCCTTTCCTTTTATTGGCTTAGCAGGCCTGTGAGGAGTACCATTGAATTGGCCATTGAATTGTACTGATAGGTTAGCCTTTATTTCAGTCACAAAGGAATTTTTGTTCCCTGCTCGAAGCAGTTTTGAAGGAGTTTAAAAAAACCTAGACAACCTTAGACAAGTCGTTCTCTCTCAGCTCTGTTCGCCTCCCATCTGTTATATGGTAATAGCATAATGCTGTGACTACTTTACAGGACTGTTGTAAATACAAGATAGCTTATATGAAGCACTTTTAACATTCAGAAGTATTCTACATTATATTAATTATAACATATATGTATTGATCTACAATGATTAATGAATTAATTTGATATTATAATAATAATATATTAATGACTATTAATAGTTATTGCTGGCTAATAATTGTTATCATTATTACATTTTGAGGCATTGTGAAACTGTTCACAAATAAGCCCTGAAACCTATTTGCCGTAACAACTTAATGCCTCTAAGCATATGCAGAAAGTTACTTTCCCCCAAATTTTTTTAAACTTGTCTCTACACCTCTGAAAAAAGCAGACAAGGATTCTAATGGATTCTGAGTGTAATTTCCTTGGGAAAGGGGAATTTTAGAAAGCAATGATTGGTTTCTTCTTACAGTAGCTGCAAAGGTAAGCCAAGTTCTGGGACAGCAACTTGTGCAATTATTTATTTTCTTTATCTTGTATAAGCCATGTTGGCACTTCCTGGGCAAAGGTGAGGGAGTCTTTTGTGAATCTCTGAGGTAGCTTAAGCTGAGAGTTGGTCATTCATTGGCTGTCAGGGCCGGGATTTGAACCCAGGTCTTCTTGCTTGCAGTCTGGCACTCCGACCATCAAACCAGACGAGGATCACATTAGTCTGTTCAAGTGGGACGAGAGGTCAGGCATGCAGGTCTCACCTAACCTTTCCATCTCTTCCTTTTGGTTTAGTGGACCCTATGATCATATCTGACCCTGTGAGGAACTGTTTCATTGGGAGGGCCGTGACTCTGACCTGCCTCTTGATAGCTGGCAATCCACCAGCTAGAATCACCTGGCTGCGGAACATTTCCCAGCCAGAGACGGAGATCCGGTCAACTGGGAGGTTTCATGTCAGCCAAGTCGGCAACGTCTCCACCCTCATTATCCAGAACTGCTCCCACAGCACAGACGAGGGTTACTACGTCTGCAAGGCCGAGAACTCCGTGGGGCTGAGAGAAATGTACATCCATCTTACTGTGACAGGTAAGGTCTAAACCACAACACGGGTCACATTGGAGGGAATTATCTTTTCAAATGGCTGCATAGGAGGATTTTGGCTGCAATACGTATGACGCTTCTGATGGTTCGATTTTTGGAACCTCCGAGGGTTTGTAAACACTATATTGGATAAATTCAGAATTTCCTTTGGTAATAAGGATAGAATAGTAACATGCAATGTATTTCTCTGAATAAACATAAGAGCCGACCCTGTTGGATCAGACCAGAGGTCTTTCTAGTCTAGTATCCTCTTTGTCACATTACTGAACCAGAAAGCCACAAATAGGGTGTTGAAAGCAACAGCCTTTCTCAGTTCTTTTCTCAGTAACTGGTGTTCAGAGGCACACTGTGTTCCATTTAGCCATACATACATACACATTAGATTTCTATACCGCTCCTCCCCGGAGGCTTGGAGCAGTTTACATGGAACATTTAGTCACCTACCAAGGGCCACAGTGCAAGGGGGATGGGGTGAATACCTTACCAGGCACCTACGCAACGGTGATCTTTTTCTCTTTATGTAGTTCTTCTTTTTTCCGTGACGGGTCTTGCTGTATCAGGCGGTGGTATTTGGCAGCTAGCCAGTAGACCTTCTATGAATTCATCTGACCCTCTTATAAAGCTGTCTACACTGCTGGCATCTCATGGCAGCGAGTTCCATAAGCTGATGATGCATTCTATGAAGAAGCACTTTGCCAGACCTGAATCTATTGCCCAATAATGTCAGTGGGTGACTCACAGGTCAATTCTAAACAGTTCTAAGTCCAGGCTAGCCCAATCGTATCACATCATCGAAGCTAAGCAAGTTCAGCCCTAGTTAGTTCTTGAATGAGAGACCACCCGGGAAGTCCAGGGGTGCCACACAGAGACAGACAATGGGAAACCACCTCTGCTCATCTTTTGCCTTGAAGACCCGATGGAGTTACCATAGGTCAGCTGTGACTTGATGGTACTTTACACACACACGTCTGTTGATTTCAGTGGACTTAGAAAGGTGGTTAAGATGCTGAACTGCAGGCTGTGGAAGGTCAGTAGTTCAGCAGTTTGAGACCCGAGTGTGGCGCATGATGGAGTGAGCTCTCATCTCTAGTTCCAGCTCCTGCCAACCTAGCAGTTTGAAAGCAAGAAATTGCAAGTAGATAAATAGGTATCGCTTCGGTGGGAAGGTAACAGCGTTCCGTGCGCCTTGGTGTTTAGTCATGCCGGCCACATGACCATGGAAACGTCTTCGGACAGCGCTGGCTCTTCGGCTTTGAAACGGAGATGAGCACCGCAACCCTAGAGTCGGATTGGACTGGCTTTCGAGCAAGGGAACCTTTACCTTTAGAAAGGTGTAATTCTATTTAGGATCACACTCTCAGAGTTCTAATATTATTGGGAGCAGAGAGGAGAAAAAGTTTTCTATCTCCACTTTCCCCATGCAAAACTTGATCATTTCATATTTTCCTCTAGGTTACAGCATACTGTGAATAGATTTCGTGTCATGTATTGTAATAATTGTCTAGACTATACTAAGAGTGCTGAGATAATATTCTTTAGAGTTAAGCTTCTTGTCTTCCTGCTTACGCTTGAGTCAAAGATTATATCCTCTACGAACACTGGGGAATGAAGCAGGATCTGATTCCTGGCAGGAATATGTGGCCCAGAGGTTTGTGGACTTTTTGTTTCCTTTTGTTTTGGAAACTGTCCAAGTGCTTTAAAAGCACTTTATCTTGCCTGGCTGTTAAGCCTATTGCCAAAAAGACACTCCAAATGATTTGTGGCCCCTCCCCATGTCAGCCTCAGTGTGATGGCCCACAGTATCAAAGCCTGCTGATAAATGCAGGAAAAGCAATAAAGAGGCACAACCCTTGTGAATATTCGGATGGGGATCATCATCTAAGGCAGGGATCCTCAGCATAGTACCCGTGGGCGCTATGGTGCCCACCGACACCTTTCCTGGCACCTGCCAAATGTTTTTAGAAAGAAGAAGAAGAAGAAGAGATTGGATTTATACCCCGCCCTTCACTTGGAGTCTCAGAGCGGCTTACAAACTCCTTTCCCTTCCCCTCCCCACAACAGACACCCTGTGAGGTGGGTGGGGCTGAGAGAACTCTGACACAAACTGCTCTTTCAGGAACAGCTGTGCCAGAGCTTGTGACTGACCCAAGGTCACATCAGCAGGTGCAAGTGGAGGAGTGGGGAATCAAACCCGGTTCTCCCAGATTAGAATCCGCACACTTAACCACTACACCAAACTGGCTCTCGGAAGGAAGAGTGAGGTGAGGAAGGAGTGAGGTGAGGCTTTTTAACACCAAGGCTTCTGATTGGGCTTTCAAAGTTTGATTGGCTGTGAAGACTTTTTTTTTTAATTGCTTTGGGAGCAGTAGCTCCCATAGTGTAAGGATCTTCACTGTATGACTGAAGGGTACACTGTATCGGAGCAGGTATTCAAACCTGGCCCTCCCAGTTCCTGGTTCTGGCACTCTAAACACTCCCCCGTGCTGGCCACCTCTCAGGTCAGACCGTTGATCCGTCTAGCTCCGTCTCAGACAGCAGCTCATCAGGGTCAAGGCAGAGCAAGGTATTTTCTCTGCTTACTGTGAGATGGAAGATGGCAGTGGATCGAGACAGGGCTTTCTGGATTAAAAGCCTATTCTCTGCCACTGAGGGCCAAACTAGATGTGACAGCGGGTTTCCGGCTACCACAAGGAAACCATTGCCATTTAAAAATGCTGTGAGGGCCCAGTCACCATCGGCCTCACCACAAGACAAGCTGAGGCACTCCCATCAAGGGCCAAAATTTATTTATTGATTTGTTAAATGTCTAGGTCACCCTTACAACAGAGATGTACAATAAATCTGTAAGTTAAAAGATTTTTAAACCAACGAAAGAAAGCAACAGTCCTTTGTAAAGTTTATGAGTTCCAAGATGGCTAGCAGTCAGAATTCCTGGTTTAGCAGATGCAGACTCCCAGAAGAACCTTGTAAAAGATTGGGGGGGGGACATAAAGCGTAAGAGGAGTATGAGGGGGCCAGGTCGCATAATTGTGTCGTCACCAGGGCTATTTTTGGGCAGGAACGCACAGGAACGGAGTTCCGGCTGGCTCCCAAGTTGACCACGCCCAGCAGGAACTCATTAGCATAATAGGCCACACCCAATAGCAGAAACTTATTAGGATTGGCTACATTAGGGGTGTGGCCTAACATGCAAAGGAGTTCCTGCTACAAAAAAAAGCCCTAGGTTTTGACAACAAACAAGGTAAACAGAATAAGAAGCAAAAGGTGGGTGTGGCTGGATGACTATACTTCTGGTAACATGGGAGTGCGGCCTAATATGCTAATGAGCTAATCTCTCATGGGTGTGGCCGGATATGCTAATGAGTTTCTGTTGTTGGGTGTGGCCTATTATGCTAATGAGTTCCTGCTGGGCTTTTTCTACAAAAAAAGCCCTGGCCGTCGCTATCCTCAACCGGAAGCCTGGCAGAACATCTCTGCCTTACAAGCCCTCTGGAAAGGCAACAAATCCTGCAGGGCTCGGATGTTCTCAGGCAGAGAGTTCCACCAGGTAGGGGCCAGGGCCGAAAAAGCCAGGTTAAGGGCAGCCAGACATCTCTCAGGCCGGGAGCCGCCAGGTGGTTCTTATGGCCGCACACCCTCCTCCTTCATCAGGGCTGTGCCCGCTAAGTAGCTTATCCAGTCTTCACATAATCTTTAGTGGATCTACCATTGACAAGGCAATATTGTTGTTGTTCCATCAAATGATACTATAATCGTGGATTGCTTTTGGGGAACTGTTGTGGTTGATAAGCAGTATGAATTAAATACTGGGGTTCTGGACAGACTGGATTTTGAGGCATCTTAGTCGTTCCGCAAAGCACAAGTCTGGTGCTCAAGCTTAATGGATTCTTTGTGTTTCTTCTCCTAACCCCCAGAACCTGTTAACATTGGTGGCATTGTGGGAACTATCGTGGTCATTTTGTTGCTGGGAATTCTGGTCTTCTTTGGAGTTTTCTTATACGCTGGTCCCCGTTTCTGCCCCAAAGGTAGGAACCACTCAGAGATCTGTTTCTGGAGAAACTAGTAGGTAATTCATGCTCTCTGCAATCTGTGTGCTGCCCAGTGGAAAAACTTTGGGGTTGTTAGTTACCTGTGTTGGTGTGCTAGAATTTGGCATTTTCCCTAAGGGAAACAAAAGGAGGTAGCAGACAGGTTTCCTGGGGGGAAGCATTTCCTAATTCAGGAGGCTACCACCGAAAAGGCCTTGCTTCTGGTAGATGACAACCAGTCATTCCTAAAATATAGATTTTGAAGAAGGGGAGGGGATTTTACAACTTCATTTCAATATGAGGTGAAAACCAGCACCATTTTTAGAACTGGCAGAATGTGTGTGTACTGCTTTTATATCTACTGAAAATCAGGTAGTCTCCTTTTATGCTAGTAGAAGCTTCTGAACCACCTTCAAGGACAGGCCGAGACAGAGCAAAATCTAGCCCAGTACCAAAAGCTGGGCGTTCTCAGATCAACTGTAGGGCAGTTCTAAATTCTAAAAAGCCCAAAAAAAGGTACACTGAATTCAGTGTAATGTGGGCTAAAGACCAGGTGCCTTATAACATCCCATCAAAATGGCTTTTGTGACGTCTGAGGAAAACAAAGGTTTAGATATTGATTAACTTTTCTTTCTCTCTCCTTTTTCTCCCCTCTTCATCTCCTCCCTTTCTTCTAGGCACCCTGCTCAGGTGAGTTTCTGCCTTCCTTAAGTGGGAGGAACCCATTCAAGTTCCCTGACCCCAAAAGGCATATTTGCTGAGGACCTCAGTTTCAACGAGGGACCTCATTTTATGTACAGCCCTGCAGAAACTGCAGTCCAACCCCCCCCCACACACACACACACCTTACCCCCAAGTTGATGGAACAGTTCAACAATTGTTAAGATTTACTGCCTAATATAAGCTGAACTCAGTTAGGAGGTACCATTTGTATAAGTAACAATGCCATCCTGGGCAGAGTAATGACTTCAGTGGTCTTCAAAAGATGTTACTCTGTTTAGGAGGGCACTGTAAGAAAGCCACCTCCATGGTTACTAGTGTGTGGTATCTGTTTTGCACAAATTTGGATGTTCATGCAGTTTGTTTTTCTAGAATCTAACTGCACAAGCATGTTGGGAGAAACTCTTCTCTCCCCAGTATCCTAGTTCTCACTTCAGCCCTGTTCAGAAATGACAATGAACACTCATACAGTCTGTGTATAGCATGCTCTTTATTTTTAATATGTCCATTGAGTAATTCTTCTGTTGCATCAACGTGTATACGATTGAACATGCAATACAAACCCTACATTTATCCAGGTACTTGTCCCTGGTTTCAGTTGCAAAGTGAACTTTCATTGGCTTTTTCTTATAAACAGATGTACACCCATACAGGCAGAATGTACAGTTGACATGAACAGGGCTTTTGTGTGTGTACAGATATACATATAGGGGAACTTGCAATTCACAAATGCTTTCTCCTAGTTTGTGGCCACCAGTAGGGCAATCCCGCAGAAACCAAATCTTGTGATTCTGTGGATGAATCTACCTAAGCTTCCCTTTGGGGCTTGCACGGGCAATGTTCCTTGGAGTTTTAGCTTTATTCATAACTGGTGTTAGTGAAATGTGAAAGAACCCCCAGGTGCCTTGCATTTTAATTCGAGAAAGCCAGAAAAACAGACAGATCTCTGGAGAAATACCTGCAAGGAAGGCAGCGAAAGCTCCTCTGACCATTCCATGAACTTCCTTCTTGGCTTCCTAATTGCAGGACTCGAGACACAAGCGACATTCTTGTGCTGATGGATTCAGAGGACGAGGATGTGTTGGCAGAATCCACTGGGGACCCTGCTTGGCACAAAGCAATGGTGCGGGCAAACGGGCATGCCACCTGGCCTACAGAAAGTAAGCTCTGCACTTTGGCAAACTTTGGCAAATACATGGTTTGGTTTGGTTTGGTTTTTAGTGAGAGTGTTGGACTCGAACTCAAGGTGCCTCTGGTCCGAGTCCCCATTCAACCATGAAGCTCGCTAAGTGACTCTTGGGCTAGGTCTGTTAGCCTAACCTACCTTACAGGGTTGTTGTAAGGGTAAAATGAAGGAGGGGTGAACCAGGTAAGCCACCTTGAACTCAGTAAAAATGAGATTGATGGTGAGTGGTCAGAGGTCACTTAGATATTTGATATCACCTAGATCTTAGTACTGTACTCTGACCACTCTGATGCACTACACTGGACTGGCTCTCCAATGTATTCTTTATTTCATTTTTTATTTTACAACATTTACACCCTGCCTTTCTCCCCTCACTGAGGCCACCAAGGCAGCTAACAAATTAAAAACATAATAAAGTCACATCTTAGAAACCACTGAAGCCAACCAAAAACACATCATTAAAAACCAGAACTATAATACATACAAAACCATTAAAACAACAATTAAACTATTGGCAGGGCAATTTTTGTAGAAAAAGCCCAGCAGGAACTCGTTAGCATAATAGGCCACACCCAACAGCAGAAACTCATGAGCATATTAGGCCACACCCCGACAGCACCACTCATTAGCATACTAGGCCACACCCCCATGTTACCAGAAATGTGGTCATCCAGCCACACCCACCTTTTGATTCTTATTCTGTTTATCTTGTTTGTTGTCAAAACCCAGAGCTTTTTTTGTAGCAGGAACTTCTTTGCATATTAGGCCACACACCCCTAATGTAGCCAATCCTAATGAGTTTCTGTTGTTGGGTGTGGCCTATTATGCTAATTAGGTCCTGCTGGGCGTGGCCAACTCGGGAGCCAGCCGGAACTCCGTTCCTGTGCGTTCCTGCCCCAAAATAGCCCTGACTATTGGGCAAGAAGGAGGGATCACTGAGGGAACGTCAAATGGAACAAAAAAAATCTGTAACGCTTGGGAGGATAGTTTGGGGTCTCTTTGCCTTTTCAGTCCATCCAGAGTTTGTATTACAGTAGCCACTATTGTTGAGAAAAAAGCATGCAACAAAATGTCCTGCTAATTATTTGGAACATTTGTATCCCACATTTCCCCTGAGACTCAAGGCAACATCAAGTTACAGTAACCATTTTTAAACAACCGCTTTGCAGAGTTAAAACAAGTTATCTGGACAAAACCTTTGGCAGAGCTTTCCCAGCAATGGGATTCCCAGCAACGGATTCTTCACTCTTCCGAAAACACTTTTCAAAAAGTAAGAAGCAAAGGTATTCTTCTCTCCCATCCTGGCGAGTAGGGATGCCAGCCTCCAGGTGGGCTCATCCTGGCGAGTAGAGATGCCAGCCTCCAGGTGGGACCTGGGGAGGATCCCCCAGAATTACAGCTCATCTCCAGACTACAGGGATCTGTTCCCCTGGAGAAAATGGCTGCTTTGGAGGGTGGACTCTATGGCATTGTACCCCACGGAGGTCCCTTTCCTCCCTGGCATTGAACCCCACTGAGGTCCCTGTCCTCCCTAGGCTCCACCCCCAAATCTCCAAGAGTGTCCCAACCTGGAGCTGGCAACCCAACCCCCTAGCCCCCTACTGGTGGCCAAGGGGGTCTGGCAACCCTATAGGCAAGCCATTGCAGCCCCACAACAGAGAATGCATTTGTTCCAGGCATTGCTGTATGAATTAACCTGAGGGCTCTGTAAGGAGGAGGAGGTGACCTAAAGATCGCAACCTGATGCATTGGTGTACAGCAGGAGATGTGGTCCAAGAGGCATGATAGGCCCAGACGATGGATTTCAAAAGTAACCGGCAAGCACTTTGAATTGGGCACAGAAGTAAATAGGTAACCCAGTGCAGCTGCTGTGAAGTCCCATAGGGATACAGTGTCAGCAGCTGGTCCCACATCAAGCAGTCTTCACTGCATTTTGTACCAGCTGCAGCTTCTGAGTCTCCTTCAAAGGCAGCCCCACCAAGAATGTGTTAACAGTAGTCTAATCTAGAGGTTACAGGGGCATGAATCAGAGTGCCTCACCCACGATTCCTGATTGTCTATTGTACCAAGTTAACAGTTGTTTGACTAAGGCTGCACTCCTAAGAGCACTTTCCTTGTTGCAAGCCCCATTGAATAAAACAGGACTTACTTCTGAGTAAACATGCATAGGATTGCATGGTAAATAGATCTATCAGGTAGTCAAGGATAAAGGCCTAAGGTGGGGTTCTTTGGTCTGAGTGAGAAGGCCAGATAAGAAAGGGCTGTGTGCCCTTCCGCAAATGTTTTGTGCTTTCCCCCCAGAGTATATCCACTTCTGGATTGAGGGGCAGTCAGGTATAATCCCTGATGTCTTATTTCAGGCTTCCGTGCAGAGATGCCCAGTGAAATCTCCCTGGAGGAAAAAGAAGCTGGACCCACAACGTAGGAGACCTCTCTATTTTCCCCCCTCTTACATGCTAGAAGCCAAAGCATCATCACAGCGTTGCTGCATCCGGACCAAGGGGGAGGAAGAGTACTTTCGGCAGCCATCTTGTCTGTTCGTCTGTCTTCACTCACTGTTGCTCATCTTTTCCATTTGTTGTCATTCTCTCCGGTGCCTTTTCTTTCCTCCAAATCCCTATTGGAATATTGAGATGGAAACAAAAGCCCATAATGGAGGAAATGTGCCTTCAAGCAGAGGACCCAAGGTTCAGTGTCCTTGTCGCCCACTGTTGCTCATCTTTTCCATTTGTTGTCATTCTCTCCGGTGCCTTTTCTTTCCTCCAAATCCCTATTGGAATATTGAGATGGAAACAAAAGCCCATAATGGAGGAAATGTGCCTTCAAGCAGAGGACCCAAGGTTCAGTGTCCTTGAAGCCAGATAAAGAACATGTTTGGAATTGAGCTTCCAGAGGCCCAGAGTATCTCAGGACAGCAGGAAGAGCTGAATGGAGTGGTATGGCTGGAAGCTAATATCCATGTGTCCAAAAGAAGAAGAGTTTGAATTTATACCCCACCCTTCACTCAGAGGGGCTTACAAACTCTGTTCCCTTCCCCTGAGGTAGGTGGGGCTGAGAGAGCTCTTTCAAGAACGGCTCTTTCAAGAATAGCTCTGACAGAACTATAGCTTGCCCAAGGTCATCCAGCAGCTACAAGTGGAGGAGTGGGGAATCAAACCCAGTTTCCCCAGATTAGAGTCCGTGCACTTAACCACTACACCAAACTGTCTTGGCACTGTGGCTGAATTAATGTTCAGGGTTCTTGGGAGTCAAAATACAAGAGCATGAGGCTTGTTCATCTGGTCCCCAGGGTCTGCTTGTGAGTAAGTGGAAGCAGCCAGGACTTTCCCTCCCTTTTGGCTTTCAACAAGCCCAAATGTGCCCACGTTTCCTCTGATTTCTCAGCAGTGAGTTATTTTCAGGATTAGCAGCATCATAGGCCTGCACATATGCCATGCCGGTGAGTTATTTTCAGGATTAGCATCATAGGCCTGCACATATGCCATGCCGCTCAGGATTAATGGAGTGGCTGAAGAAAACTGGGAGAGGTCACAACCAGGTGTAAGGAACACAGGTCTTGGTTGCAAATGAGAAGCAAGCCGACAGCCCTTCTCTAGACTGATGGATGCTTGAATGCTGTGACGAAATTCATGTGTGCCCCTTAAAGTGCATTTCAGCACCTGCTGCTGGCATATACATGTTAAAAATCTAAAAAGTTTCAGATGTGCTGGTGCCCGCATGAGAAGCAGAAAGTTGTTTTTAGATGAGCATGTGTCTGCTTTCTAAATCGATTGATGGCTGGGCAGGAAAGCTTTTTGCTTGTTTGTTTTTAACGGTGTTTCAGCCTTTCTGCACTTTACAAAGCATATATGATTTGAGCCTATTACTTTACTCCTATTTACTCCTATAAGGAAGCAACAATACCACAAATGCCTCTAACCCTGAAACAGTATGGACTGCGTGGCAATCATGGTATCGATTGTCCCGCCCTGGCTGGATCGCTGTCAGACTCTGTTAACAGCAAGTTTCGTTCTTTCTGTTCTTCTTTCAGATGTCCTGCCCTTTCTACTGTCTTTTTTGTTTCTTTGCTTTCTGGCCTCTCTTCTGTTCTTTTCCCCACAACTGTTATCGGTTGACTTTTCCATATTCGTGCCCACTCCCTCCCTCCCCTATATTTTATAATCTGTGTGGAACAGGCATTGTGTATGTTATATTTCCAAAGTAGGTCAGCTCATGCCCTTCTGTGCATCCTCATCCAGTAGTCACATCTCAGGAAAGGGCTAGGCCCTGCTGTGGCTGAGCCCGAGTGCAAACTCAGCCAAGACGAGGACACTGCAGAGCCAAAGTTTGCAAACTGCGAGGCAGACATAGAGACGCTGGGGCTAGAAAGTACAGGTCTGGGGAGACTCAGGTTCAAATCCCCGCTTGCCCTGAAGCTTGCTGGGTGACCTTGAGCCAGTCACCTTCTTTCAGTCTAACCTACCTCAGTGGGCGGTTGGGAGGATGATGTAGAGGGTGGAACCATGTATGTCGCCCTCAGCTCCTAGGGAGGAGAGATTATATAGATAGGAGCCCTAGGCAGTTGCTAGGGGAGACCCACCAGAGTGGACAAGGGAGGGGGGGAGGAAACCCTGAACTGAATAGAAAATAAAACACTGAAGAAGAGTGGGGAGGAAACCCTGAATAGAAAATAAAACACTGAAGAAGAACCAGAGCCGAAGTGCAAAAAAGTTGTAAACAGATCCTCCAAACTTAAATGCACCTACAACCTCTTATAAATAGTTTGCAATTCTTGGACTTATACTGGTTTACTTTTTTAAAGCTGTGAGTCGGATCCAGCTAGCTTTTTTTCACTCCCATCTTTCCCAGTTCTCCTCTTTACCCACCATCCCACGTGGATTTTGTCCATACAGATCCCGTGATCCCCAGTACAGCTAGTGGTGGTGGTAGGGGTGTCATTCCATTTTTCAACACTGGAAAAGCTGGTTGGATCCGACCCTGTCTTTTTATTTTATTTTATTTAAATAAATAATTATGTTTCAACTGTAATGCCAGTAGCTCACAAAGTAGAATTTTTGCTCACAAGACTCCACAGCTTAGAGGGAACATTGGTGGTAAGGGTGTCATTCCATTTTTCAACACTGGAAAAGCTGGTTGGATCCAACCCTGTCTTTTTATTTTATTTTTTAAAATAAATACTTATGTTTCTTTCTGTTGCTGAGATGAAATTTGGAGAAGGCCTAAACCCACACTGCCTTACAGCTCTGTAACGGTAGCAGAGCTTGGGAACTTCAGTTGAAGAGTGAAACTAGGCCTGATTTCGAAGCTGCCGCAGCCTCGCAACAGTGTGCAAGCCATTTCCCTGTGTCACAGTCCCACATCCCTCTAATGAGGTCTGCTTAGGGGAGCCGTGCGTAGGTGACAGCTAGGGCTGCCACCTCTTCAGCTGGGATACACCTGGAGATTTTGGGAATGGAGCCTGTGGAGGGTGGGGTTTGGGGAGGGGTGGGACCTCAGCAAGATTTAATGCCGTGGAGTCCGCCCTCTAAAGTAGCCATTTTCTCCAGGGGAACTGATCTTGGTCGACCGGAGACCAATTGTAATAGTGGGAGATCTCCAGGTGCCACCTGGAGGTTGGCAGCCCTGCATAAAGTCCACTCTCCCCAACAGCCGTTTTCTCCAGAGAACTGGTCTCTGTTGGTTGGAGACCAGTTGTAATTCCAGGAGATCTCCAGGTCCCACCTGGAGGCTGGCAACCCTAGTGACAGCATATGTGGTTTCTTGCTGTGTTAAGACCGGTATGATATTTGCATGGATTAAAAAAATTGCTGATTTCTTCTTACTGACGGGGCGTGAGATTAGACGGATCAGACCCAAGGGCGTGCCCAACCTGAGGCCTGGCGTTATCAAACACTGGACTGTAGCATATAAAAAAACAGGACACAGTATCATTGCTGTACAGGTGAGTACCAGAACAGACAAACCCCATGAGCTTATCAGCTGTCAACGAATGCAGCTCTCTCTTGCTCAAGCCACGTTGCAGTCAGTAGGAGCCATGCAAGAACGCAGATCAGGTCTCTTTCATTTCCACGGGGCCTGCGCAAGGAGACCTGTCAGATCACGCTGGTTTTCCAGCCTCCCTGCTGCATTGCATGTGCCTTTACACCTCAGGCTGGCTTGGGCCCAGCAAGCTGTTCGCTTGGGAAGAGAGGCGACTTCTTTTAAGCTGGCTTTACAAGCGTGATTCCCAAAGAGCTACCAAGAAACAGAATCTTCTGTCAATGTGTCAGTGGAGGTGATCTTTTGCTTAAGAAATAAAATTTGTATTTTGGCCTTGAGGCTGCTCTGTGTATGTGGAGGGGGGGATATGGAATGTGAATACTAGCTCTCAGACTTTGGACTCACAGATGTGTTTTTTCTGTGTAGCTTAGGACAAGGGGCCCTCAACATGGTGCCCGTGGAGGCCATGTTGCCCACTTTTTTACAGCTTTCCTGGCACCCACTGCCAGGTGGGATCTTTGCCAATCAGGGCTTCTGATTGACCACTGGAGATCTGATTGGCTATGCAAGTTTTTTTTAAAAAATGCTTCAGCAGCAACTGCCACAATAGCACAATGATCTTTACTATGTGACTGAAGGTAAGCTGTGTGTATGCAAGGAAATATTTTTAAATAATAATAATAATACCTTTTGATTTATTGATCGCTCAATCTGGCAGAGCTGCTGGCTCTGAGCAATTTACAGTTACACGGTTTCACACAAAGGGACTAACAATTTCATAGGGGTAAGGGAGGACAACATATAATTCTTTAAATCGCACACCTTTTGCAGCCAAGGGGGATTTCATTTGGATTTTTGTTCAGCTGTAGGCTTCAGACGTGTTCCGGAGGCATTCACTTTTCAGCTTGGCTTGATGACGTTGGTTCTTCCTGGGCTGCTTTGAATCGTAGCGCCGCACTGCCACTGCCTGGCCGGATTGGCCCATTACAGGCTTCTTAATGCCCAAGAGGCAATATGTTCATTTTAAAAAGCATCTTGATAAGCAGTGCTTCTGCCTGAAATGTTGAAGGGTTACTATTAAAACAAAGTTTGAGTCCAGTGAACAAGAAAAAGTTTTGTTCTAACTGTAAGCTTTCGTGCACAAAGCACACTTCTTCAGACACTTTGAATAAAACTTTGTTGGTCTTGAAGGTGCCACAGGACTCAAACTTTGTTCTGCTGCTTCAGACCAACACACTTACAATTAGAGTTATGCATAACTTCACTCCCTGACAGTGGGGACAAAAGCTGGGGACATAGGAGAAGCCAATGTTGGATCAGGCCAATGGCCCATCCAGTCCAACACTCTGTCACACAGCGGCCAAAAATACCAGGTGCCATCAGAAGGTCCACCAGTGGGGCCAGGACACTAGAAGCCCTCCCACTGTTGCGTCCCCCCCCCAAGCACCAATCAGGGATCTCTAGCTAAGGAGTTTGTCTAGCACAGGGGTTAAAAGGCTGACCTGGTTGGTCCCTGCTTCAGATCTAATCTCTGCCATGACTGACTAGGTGGTGTCAATCAAGACTTCTTTTGTAGTGCTCTTCCCAGTACATGAAGGGCTGTTGTGTGGAAGAGGGCAAAGGTTTGTGCTCTGCTGCTGCAGAAGGCAAGACCTAGACTGAACTGGCTTCAGTTCCATGAGGGTAGAGTTCAGTTGAACATTAGGAGAATCTTGCAAAGGGCATCAGCCATTGGACAATGGACCCAGCTGCCATGGGGAGTGGTGAGCTCTCCCTCGTTGGAGGTCTTTGAGCAGAAGCTGGACAGCCATCTGATGAGGGTGCTGCAGTTAGGCTTTCCTGCTCTGAGCAGAGGGCTGGATTTACATGGCTTCCAATTGTACAGGCTGACAGCACCACAGGGCTGTGGCCACTGGAGGGGTGCGCAGGGCTCTGCCCCCTTTTGCACCTGCAGCACCCCCACCCAATCTTCCCTTTCTCTTCCCTCTGGTGTTATTTTTCTTGTTTACTTGCCTCTGGGCGCCAGGTGGTTGTGGCTAGGGGTACGCTTTGGGGCAAAGCTGAATGTAATAAATACCTGGAAAATACCTTATCACCCCCCTAGCGCCCCCTCTCAAAAGAACTCCTGGCTACAGGGCTGCAGCACCATCAGTGGACTTAGAAGGATGTAACATGGCTTAGTATATGGAACTATAAGCCACCTTCTGTCTTTCTGCTTCAGCTCCTCCTGTCTCAGTACAGGGATAATAATGCTAGTACACGGCTGTTGTTAAGGCTATCAGCAAAATAATATAGCTGAAGTGCTTTGAACAATTAAAACACTGCATAAATCGATTCTGTTTGGAGATGCGTTTCACATTGTGTATATTTCTCAGTCAGCTTCCAACACAATGGGCAGGCACCCTTTTTTCAGGAATTTAATATTGCTTTTAAGTATCTTGTCTGGTCCCTTGTCTTACCAGTTAGGTCTCAAGGAGCAAGACCCTGCTTTCTGGGCCCCAGGGATACTTTTTCAGTTTGTCTGCTTTTATTGGCTCAGGCAAGGACTACACCAGGGGCACCTGTCTGGATCATGTACCGAAGTGTGTTATATTACGTCAAAAGTACATTAAACCTACAGCTAGGATGAACCACACACACATGCAAAATGCTTACTCTAATTAACATACTTGCCAGAGTAATTACAAATACAACACACCCTTTTGTATATTGTAAAAAATATCATAAAAAATAACTTGCACAATGTTTCCGTCACAACCAGACTACACAGCAGGATAGGTGAGAACGACCCAGAATACCGTACACTTCAGAATTTTGCTTGTCCCACTTGCCAGGCAGAGAGATTTCCCAGCTCTGGTCCTTGAGATTTCTTAACTAGAGGTGCCGGGGGCTGACCCTGGAATGCTCAGCATGCAAAGGTTGGCTTCTAGTTCTGGGCTGGAGCTCCTCCCTTGAGTTTGTTGACCAGGGATTGGGGTGGGGGGGTGTCTCCCTACACAGTTATTCATCTTACTGTTGAAAACAAGCGGCTGCCTTTCACGTTTTCCACAGCAGGGTAAAGCTGGGGTCTTAGCAACTGCCTATCAGTGCGGACAATCACTGGACTGGATGGAGCAATTATCAGACTCCAAAAGGGACAAAAGAGGAGCCCTGTTGGGTCAGTCCAGGGGTGCATCTGGTCCAGCATCCTGTCTCACACAGTGGCCGACCAATTCCTCTGGAGAGCCAACAATGGGGCATAGAGGCTGAGGCCTTCCCCTGATGCTGTTTCCTGGCATTGATATTTACTGCTTCTGAATATGGAGGTTCCCTGTAGTCACCATGGCTAGTAGCCACTGATAGACCTATCCTCTGTGAATCTGTCTAATCCCCTTTTCAAGCAGTCAATGCCTTTGGCCATCACCACATCCTCTAGCATCAAATTCACTCCTGTAAAGAAGTACTTCTTTTTATCTGTCCTGAATCTACTGCCCACCAAGTTCATTGAATGCCCTTGAGTTCTAGTATTCTGGGGCAGGGAGAAAAAGTTCTATCAGGATTCTCTAAGCAGGCCTCCTGAAGTTGCAGTCTTATGCAAATACTGAGTGAAAAAACCGCTATCTGGGGTTTTTTCTTTTGGACCAGCATGGCTGTCTAGTTCTTTCTGCAGTCTTCTGGCCACTGACCCTGGAGCCAGCCACCTACAGCTCAGTGGACCCTTCTGCTGGATGCAAAATGTGCAGCTGTAAAATCAGCTGATTTCCTTCCTGAAGAAGCAGAGCAGGCATGTTAGAGAGCAAACTAGTGGGCCTAGCAGTGAGCGTGATGAACTGGGGAGAACTGGCTTCACTCTGCTGTAGAGTTCGTAGGATGACCTTGGGTCAATCTCTCTGTTTCTCAGTCTAACCTACCTCACAGGGTTATTGCAAGTGATGCAAGAAACCATTATCCTAAGAGAGGCTGAGTTTATCAGAGGAAGGGGTGTATAGGATCCGGCCCCCACGCAACATTGATAGAATCCACTGGCTCTTTGCCAGTTGGTCGATAAGGGGATATGAATCTGTAAAGTAAGAAGCATATCCAATATCTGGCAGGAAGCCAAGTGCCAACATGTTGCAGTTGCCCTGGAAAAACTGGTGTTTGAAAACCCCTTCATCTATGAAGCTCACTGGGTGATCAGCTTTACTCAGCCTAAGCTACCTCAAAGGGTTGTCGTAAGGGTAAAATGAGGAGAGGAAGAGCAAACCCTAAGTTCTTTCGGAGAAAGGTGAGGTTTAAAAATAGATATACTAGGTAAGTAGAGAGCTTCAAAGTGGAGGAAACACCCAGGTCCTTGTTCACATGGTCATCGCTGGTATGTCCAGGGTTGCAATGAGAAGAAACACACGTGTACAGTGTAGTATAGTGAAAGAACAAAGTCATGATTCTAGGCCAGTGGCACCTTTAAGACCGACAAAATTTTATTCAAGGTGTGAGCGTGTGCGTCGGACGATGAAATGGGAATTACATATCATAGTTGTATATACAGGAATGGTTTGTTAAATTAGCATTCAAAATAGTGAGGACACATTTTTTAACACATCAGAAGAATGACAAGCTTAGTTCCCAAGGCAGTATAGTGGTTAGTGTGTTGGATTAGGGCATGGGGTAAAGGTAAAGGTTCCCTTGCTCGAAAGCCAGTTGAGTCCGACTCTAGGGTTGCGGTGCTCATCTCCGTTTCAAAGCCGAAGAGCCACCGCTGTCCGAAGACGTTTCCGTGCTGCTGAACTACTGACCTTCCACAGCCTGCAGTTCAGCGTCTTAACCACTTGAGCCACCGCAGCTCCTTGGGCATGAGGACCTTGGTTCAAATCCCCACTTGGCCATAAAACTGTCTGGATGATTTTGGGCCAGTCGCTTCCAGCCTAACCCGTCTGGCTGGGCTGTTCTGAAGATAAAATCGGGAAGGGGAAAGCGATGTATGCCGCCGCCCTGAGATCCCTGGGGAAAGGGCGGGATTAAAAATGTACCTTTAAACAAAAATGTTACTTATTAGTAGCAATGCACTGGATAAGTAGAGAAGGTCAGCCCCAGCTTGACATGAAGCCATCCTGATGTGGGCACCGCGGCGGTGCGCCCTGGGCGCAAAGGGGGAGAGACCCAAGCGGCGCTCTTCTTCTCCGCCCTCCTCTCCGACTGTCCTCCGGGGCTCGAACACGGCCGGGCGTCCCGCCTCCGTTCCCCTCCCCCGGCTGTGTCGTCACGTGACTGGTTCAGGTCGGGAACGGGAAGAGGAAGCGGCGCCGTAGCCCGCAGCGCCAGCCTCATACGGGCCCAGATGTGAGTCGGATGGAGACGCCTCCGGGGGACCCTCGTCGGCACCGCCTGCTCGTGGGGAAGGAGGCGGCGGCGGAGGAGGAGGAGGGTGAGGGACTTGGACTGCTTGCTTGCTTCTTCTCCTACCCGTTCGTTCTTCAACGAGAGAACTGTCTGTTTTGGAGATGTAGTTAGACATTCCGCCCCACCCTCTCTCGTACTGGGGTTTAAGATTTTGATCTCCCTGGAGCAGCGACTGCCTTCGTCCCCTTTCCCGGTGTTAATTAGTTCAGCATAAGTGCTCCACGAGCGCTGCGTTTTTCCTGATTAGATCTGAATTTTACATAATTGCATCTTGCTTTAAAGCGCAGTCCGTAGTGGCCTCCGGGTTCTCCTGTCGGTTTACGCCTTTTTTCAAACCTGACTATGATAACTGTCCAGTGAGGATCTGCATACTAGATCTGCTAGTACAGGGAAGTGCATACCTGAACAAAACGTTGGTAGTCTATAAAGGGCCACTGTTCCTCCCTCCCCCCCCCCCCCCCCCCCATGCTGTTCAATGGTACGGTTTAGCATAGTCCAGTGAAACGAGTCCTGGAGAGTGGAAAGGGAATTAAGGCTGCCAAGTTCAAGTTGGAGAATTCTTGGAGATTTGAGCAGGGAACATGAAGAGGAGAGGGACCTCGATGGGCTAGAATGTCATAGAGTCTACCTTTCAAAGCTGCCATTTTTTCTCTAGGGGAACTGAACTTTCTGTTCTGTAGATTAGCTGTAATTCTGAGAAATCTCGGCCCCCACAGCCAGGAAGTTGGCAACGTGAGATAGACTCAAGTCCAGTAGCACCTTAGGGACTGAGAAGATTTCCGGGGTATAAACTCTCAAGAGTCAAAGCTCCCGTCCTCAGATAAGAACTGAAATTAGTCTCCAGCTTCATAGCTAAAGGAAGCTTTGATTCTGGAAAGCTTGTACCCCGAAAATCTTGTTATGTTGGTTTCCAAGGTGCTTCTGGCCTCGAACCTGGCAGTTCTACTGCAGACCAACACAGGGACTCTCTGAAAGTAATCAGATCTGTTTGCAAAAAGTGTTAGGGCTATTGCCACTTTTCCAGTTTCTTTAACATGCAGTCTGGCTTTCAGAAATTATACTGGGGAAGTTTCTCTCTCTCTCTCTCTCTGCTATAGTTGAAGTGATAGGAAAAGTTTACGCTGTTTTAAATTGAGTTCAATTCAAATTGGATTTAATTGGGACAATGGGCGTCTTTCACACCACAGGTGATAAATTAGCACAGTTAAAAATATAATGGGGAGAAGTGATGAGTCTCTTTTTGTGTGTTTTGCTTTGAAATGCTGCTAAGCTGCTAGGTGGGTTCTGTGGCTGTTTTAAACTCAGTGTAGACATTTTGATTACTTAATGCAGTATTCCAAATGGCCCATAGTAGTCTTACGTTTGAGCTCCACAAAAATCTCTTTGTTCTGTTGTTTACGGTTTTGGAGACCCATTTTAGTATAAGCATTGTTTGCCACCTAAAAGCTGCCTTGCATGTAATGTATAAGATCTGTGATCAGTGTTCCCTCTAAGCTGAGTTAGTGTGAGCTAGCTCACAGGTTTTTAGCCTCCGGCTCACACATTTTTGTGTTTGCTCAGGAAGGATGGCTCCAGAGCAAACTAATTGATGCATTAGTCAAATCGCCCGCTCACAACTTTAATGCCAGTTGCTCACAAAGTAGCATTTTTGCTCACAAGGCTCTGCAGCTTAGAGGGAACATTGTCTGTGATTAGGATTTCCAGGGGTGGGGGGGTAGTCCAAAGCTGCTAAAGGATCTGTGTGCGTGTGAATCCAGTTCCCCTGCTCCAGTAGTTTCTATATGGATTGACTGCTGCTTCTCTATCAGGCTGGTAGGGAACTGGAATCAAATCAGCATATGTGGAAATTGTTACAATTCAGATCAACATCAGAAACAAGGCAAGACACAGCCCCTGTTGTTTGTGGGCTGGCTTTGAAATTATTCTCCACCTGTACCTCCCCCCCCTTTATCTATTTATTTAGAAATATTGTATGCCACCTCCTCGTGGAACCTGCCTGCGGTGGCTTACAAAATAAAATATAATAAGAATAAAACACTAAAAGTTAATTAGTTAAACTTTTATGCAAGCTGTCCTGAGCCAGCTCCGGCCGGGAGGGCGGGGTAGAAATTTGAAAAACAAACAAATAAATCCAGCATTTCCCCGATCGTGCGTGTAAAACAGCAGATCAAAACCACATACGAGCTTACCTGACTGAAGGGAAAACAGCAATATTGTTTTTAAAAATTAACCAGTAGCTCTTGAGTCATAATCTACTGAGCATGGAAATGATTGTACTTGGAAAAGCAGAAATTTAATTGGGCTAGCAGCATTTGTCTCTGATCAACAAAAACAAAGCAAACAATATCTGTATTTACTTGAAAGGAAGGTGACCCTGAATGTTAGATACCACCCTCAAAAAGGTTATATATCCCTCAAAATGTTTGCTGAGCATACTTGTAACTTGAATGTGAATGCAAAATTGCCCCTCTCTTTTCTTTGATAGCATATCGGAAGGTGGGGATCTAGTCTGACATTGGAGTAAATATTATATTGGAGTGTCTTTATAGTGTGTGAAATTGGTCACTTTGAGGCAGCAGTTAGTGTTAAACCAGGACAGGGGAGGCCTCGGTTCAAACCCTCACTCTGCAGTAAAACTTTCTGTGTGACCTTGGGTCTCTCTCTCGCCCGAGTCTATTTCACGGGGTGGGTGTGGAAGTAAAAGGGAGGAGGGGAAAATCCATGTAAGCAGCAATGAGCTCCTTGGAGGAAGAGCAGGACAAAAATGTGATTTATTTGCATAAATCTGTAAGCAAGTCATGGCTGCCGATATCTGTGGAACTTCTCCGGGTAATCAATTGACCTGCAAGCTGGTTTCGAGCCTTGAGTCCAAAGGCCCCACGAGCTGGACCAGTGAACTGCTGGCGAGCCAGCCTTTGCCTCCTTCAATTTAGCCGGACTGATAGTTGCCCGCCTTGCAGGTGACTTTTACTGTTTCCTGCGCTAACTTGACTGTGTGTACGTCAGTTCAGAAAACATTTGCCTCCTTCTCCAGGCGAGCCCCTCCTAGTGGCTGAACTGAAGCCTGGGCAGCCCCAGCCGTTCTACTGGAAATCAACTTGTGAGACGTGGAGCGTGGCCTTCTCCCCAGACGGTGCTTGGTTCGCTTGGTCTCGGGGCCACTGTGTTGTCAAGCTGCTCCCTTGGCCTTTGGAGGAATCTGAGCAGTGAGTATACCCATGAGTCTTCCTCCTGCTATGCCCTGGGCCAGTGCGTTGAGATCCACACCCAAAGAGGATCATACCAGTGGAGTCAGCAAGACTTGGTGGCCACTTATGTGCTTTGCATGCTTAACATTTCAGGCTCAGTCCCTGGCAACTCCAGTTGTAGGCTTTCTGGTAGCAGGTTATGGTGAGGAGAGGTCACCAAGTTCAGGTGATGGATCTGCGGTGACCAGAAATAAACACAGCCTAGCTGGAGGAATGGTGGGCCCCCTACGCTGGCATCCATAACACCAGGGGTCATTTCGTAGAAAAAGAGGTGCAGGAGCTCATTAGCATAACTCATTCGCTTAACTTATTTGCATATGCCACACCCCCTCACATCACCGGAAGTGTGTCAGAAGGCAACACCCACCGCTCAGGCTCCACTGGACTGTTTTGGATTGCCAGCTATTGGGGGGGGGACTTGCAGATCTGTCTTTGCAGAGGAGGGAGAGCTTGTACCTGAATAAAACTTGGTCTTAAAGGAGCCACTGGACTGTTTTGGACCGGGGGGCTGGGGGGGGGCTCTGCAACTTACCTGGCTGCTTCTTGCTCTGACTAAGGGCTGCTGGGAGCAGGGGGTGGGGCTTGTTGCCTGTGCCCGCCCCCTGGGCTCTTTACTGCCGGAGCTCCGCTCCTGTGCGCTCCTGCAGGAAATGACCCCTGCATAACACTAATCGACTCAAAGTGGTTCGTAAAGGGACCAGATGCTGTGTTGGGGCTTTCTAGTGTTTCAGCTGTATTATAGTAAAAAAACTCGCTTAAGGCTCAAGTTCAGAATCAGTTTTGCTTTCACTATAATTGTATAAATCCCACAAACTTTTGTTCATGTTAGTAAAGCCTGGCCTGCCTTATAGACCAGAACAGATTTTTGTGGGTTGTGGCTTAGTGGTAGAGCATCTGCTTGGCATGCAGAGGGTCCCCGAGTTAATCCCCAGGGGGGTCTCCAGTTAAAAGGGACCAGACAGGAGGGGATGTGAAAGATGTCTGTCTGACATCCTGTAGAGCCACTGCCAGTCAGAGTAGACAATACTGACCTTGATGGACCAATGGCCTGATTCAGAATAAGGCAGCTTCATGTGCACTTAGCGTGTTTTGTCACTGGAGGCTTGGCAGAGCTGTTCTGGGATTGCACCACTCAAAATGGATGGGAAATGGCAGGGCTTTTTTTGTAGAAAAAGCCCAGCAGGAACTCGTTAGCATAATAGGCCACACCCAACAGCAGAAACTCATGAGCATATTAAGCCACACCCTGACAGCACCACTCGTTAGCATACTAGGCCACACCCCCATGTTACCAGAAATGTGGTCATCCAGCCACACCCACCTTTTGATTCTTATTCTGTTTATCTTGTTTGTTGTCAAAACCCAGAGCTTTTTTTGTAGCAGGAACTTCTTTGCATGTTAGGCCACACACCCCTAATGTAGCCAATCCTAATGAGTTTCTGCTGTCGGGTGTGGCCTATTATGCTAATGAGTTCCTGCTGGGCGTGGCCAACTCAGGAGCCAGCCAGAACTCCGTTCCTGTGCGTTCCTGCCCAAAAATAGCCCTGGGAGATGGGCTATATTTTGAATTCTCCTGCATATTTACTTTTTTTTTTTTTAAGTGAAACTTGGTTCCTTATTCTGACAATCAGCCAGTGAAACTGGTTATGGTTTTTCTCATTTTATGGATGAGGAACTGAGGCTGAAGATTGACTGGCTTGCCCGTTAATTTATGTATTTGTGTTTCTAGTATATGGCTTGTGATAGCTTGAAATGGTCTGGGTAGTCCCAGTGGATCAGGGGAGAGGTTGTTGTCTTGTCTTTGGATGGGAGAAGGAACTAGATGAGATGCTCTCTGATCCTTCCAGCTCCTAGACATGCCTCCCCCTTCCCATTTCTCTCCACAGGAGCTGCAAAGCCTGGGAGCGCAAGGGCCACTGTACCAAAGGTGAAGCCAGTGGTCGAGGAGGGGCAAAGGAGAAGACCTTGGAGTGCGGTCAGATTGTCTGGGGCCTGGCCTTTAGCCCCTGGCTCCCTCCCAGCTCCAGAAAGCATGCTCCCTGCTTGGTTCTTGCCACGGGACTAAATGATGGGCAGATTAAAGTCTGGCAGGTGGAGACAGGTATTTCCTTAAGAAAGCCAGTGTGGTGTATGGTTAGAGTTTGGGACTAGGACCAGGGAGTAAAAGGTAAAGGTAAAGGTTCCGCTGTGAAGCTTACTGGGTGTCTTTGGGCCAGTCACATGCTCTCAGCTGAACCCACATCACAGGGTGGTTGTGATGATAAACTGAAGGGAGGTGGGGAACCACTGCCCAAGTTCCTTGGCGGAAAAGCCAGGATAGAAATGCTGCTTAATGTTTAAGATGTGTTTTTAAGCCTGTAAAATGTTTTAAGATGTATTTTTAAGCCCGTAAAGGAGTCAAGGCCGGCAACATTGTTCATGGGGAAAATACCAATTTGTACCAATTTTAAAATAAAATAAGTGCAATGCCAGCCACTGCCAGAATCCCGATCCCCCCTGGTTAATCTTGTGACGTTGCACCTTACCTTGAGTGTATGCCTTTGCAGGCAGTTCCACAATGCAGTGGAGTGCAACTGAAGAAGCTTGAGTTTGTATAGTAGCAGATTTGACACAGAGGAGCTAGACGGAAGTCCCCATTCAAATAAGATCAGCCTTTTTATTGTTGCTCTGTTCTGGGAAATGGGGTGCATGTGGCTGGAAAACCTTTCCTCTTTATCCCCCTGTGTCTGCTAGACCTGCAACTCATTTAGCTTACTATAAAAGGACCACTAACCTTTTCTGTGGCTGGGAAGAAGCGATTCAGCCCCTTCCCCTCCCACCTCAGTTCCCTGACCTTGCTTCCCCAGACCTTACTGGCTCTTCTGCCTCGCTGGGCTTAAACCTGTGTCTTGCTGTTTGTAGGGAGTTTGTTGTTCAACCTCTCGGGGCACCTGGATGTTGTGAGGGACCTGAGCTTTGCGCCTGGCGAGAGCTGCTCCATCCTTGTCTCTGCTTCCCGAGACAAAACCCTGCGGGTCTGGGACCTGAGTCAGAATGGTATGGCCTTGTGAGAGATGGGACTGGGCTTTTTTGTTTGTCTTTTTAAATGAATCTTAAACAAAAACTGTACATTTTAGTGTATGAATTCTAAAAAGGAGGCAGTTGGCCTGTGATGAAGACAATTTAGGGATCTTTACCATTCAGCCCTATGAGGATTTTCCTCACTGGCGACCTGTGGAAGAAAACTTATTGGATCTGTGGAAGATAACCTCTCATGATCATCCTCTAAATAAAACGATTGATCCCCAAAGTGGTTATAAAGACAGGCAAACAGGTGCATTGAAATGCATCATGATAACGCTTATTAATTTCTCAGCGGCAAGTTACAAGGCTAAAGTTGACGCTTGTTCAAGATTAAAAGAGCAACAGATTTACTGTTTCTTCTGCTACACTAATGAACTGTCAGGATTAAAGGCAGTCCTGTGTTTTTCTTGATCAGCTGCTGGACTTTTACAAAAATCCTGAAAACTAGATAATAATACAGGGATATCTGTGATTAAAATCAACTATATATGATGATAGGCCTTGATAAGCCAACCATCTGGTGCAGTTGAGGAACTGAGAGCAAAAATCTGAGATGTGAAGAACACAGGCAGAATAAACAAATGTGATCGCAAGTAAGTAAAAAGGAGAAAAGTTACAAAAAGTTACAAGGATGTGACAGCTATGCAGGATGCAACTCATAAAGGATGAAGCTGGATGGAAAACAACAAAGCTCCCTGATGCAACTGCCTTTATTGGATTCCTATTCTCTTTCAGTACCTGCCCCTGGTAGGCCAAACTCACCCAGCCGTGGGTAAGGGATCGACTCCCCCCAAAAGTAGCCTCACTGCTGCTTCAGGGAGTGAATACCCTCCTTCCCTGTGCAGGGCCTTATATGTTCTCTGGTAGAACTCCGCGTCCTCATCAGTGATTGGTGCCTGCTTTTCCCTCCCTTTTTTTCCCCCAGTCCAATCCTGAAGCTTAGAAGGTACCTGGGAAATGAAGGCCTGCTGGAAACTTTACACAAAGACAGCAGGCCTTTGCAGAAGGGAGGTTTCCTTGAGGCCTGCAGGCTGTTTATTCTTTAGCCTTAGGCCTAGAATCATGACACCTAATTAGGGTTGCCATCCCCCCAATGGGGTGGGGTTTTACCTGCTCTCGGGGGGCCCAATCCACTGCTGCTCAACTGGCCGGTGGGGGAGCCCCGCCCCCGAGCAGCCCTGTCCATTCCGGGACGCTCTAGCATCTGAGAAAAAACTCTGTGGTAACCAGGATATCCCGGACAGTGGACTGGAGCCCCCTGCTGGCAACAGGTAGGGCCTACACCTAATATAATACCTTTTTAAAATTAAGGTCATTAGAAATATCACCAAATGGGGAGCGCATGCTTACAAGTTCCTCTGAATTATTCATCAGATATGAAGGGTGTGTGTTTTACCATCATGCCCTGGAAAGGTCCAAGACTGCATTTCTTTTGTAACATGGCAACCAGGAGGTATTGCAGACTGAGGGTGCTTTCACACAAGCTGAACAATGCACTTTCCATCCACTTTAGTTGTTGCTGTTTCACACTGTAAAATCCAGTTGCAAAGTGCATTGAAAGTGTGTTTAAAGTGCCCTTAATGTGGATGACGTAGCGTTAGAGGGCAGATAGTTTTCAAGATGATTCTAAGAGAAGAAGAAGAAATAATCTCTTTAAGAGCATAAACAGCAGTAGCCTCCAAATCTTGCAACCATACCAGATAAGTCCTCTGGGGCCAGATGAAACCTGAGGACCAGATTCACCTCACGGATGGTGTACTGCACATCACCCGTTTGTGGGAAGGGTAGGATGACAGAAGGATATTTGGCAGAGTGTACATGTAAAATCAGCATGGTGTAGTGGTTAGTGTGTCAGACTAGCTTCTGGAAGAGCTGGATTTGAATCTCCACTCTGTCACAGAACCTCACTGGATGACCTTGGGCCAGTCACTATCAGCTCATCCTACCTCGCAAGGTGGTGGTTGTGAGGATAAAACAGGATGAAGTCATAAGCCACTTTGGTTCCCACTGGAGAGAAAGGCAGGGTACAAATACTTAGTTCAGTTCCGTTTAGTTGATATGAGATCAACTTGAGAAGTTTTGGGAAAAGCACTAAAAACAACCATGTGCAATACCAAGACCAACAAAAAGAACTGGTGTGGGTCATTATAATCCACTATCCCAAAATTCTTGCACACATTTCACAATAGCCGGTTATTTGCAGACTCAGCCATCTGTTTTTGTATTGTGTATGCTGTTAAACAAAATTTCGTTACATTATGAATTATTTCTTTAGAGAAGTCTGAAAGGAGGAGGGAAGTGCAGAATTACTCTGATCTTCCTGGTGAATATTTTTAAAAAGGGCGTAATATATTGGGAATGTATATCATTATAATAGGGACATTGTAAGCATATGCAATCAGCTGTCTCAGTCTTTCCCATTTAACAAGGATATAAATATGTTAATATATCTCAATGCTCAGCTATAGTGTTCAGTAGAACAAATACAACTATGTTTTTGCTTTACAAAAATGGGACATGTCTTCCTGCAGGGATCAAAAGGCAGATCTGCTCCAATGCTCTGCTGGTGTTTCTCATTTTTCTCCAGGAAGACAACTCCAGGTGCTGTCTGGCCACATGCAGTGGGTCTACTGCTGCTGCATCTCCCCCGAC